GCACCGATTTTCCCCCACGTTGGTTGGCTGGTCGTCATGGCTCTGGATAATGCATTTTAATGAATTGTTATTTGCTGGACGTGGACCCAAAGGACTCTTTATCATGAAGGGACCCATCCTGAAAACCTTAATAAATCATTTGCTATTGAAAACCTACCTGTTGGCAGGACAGGGAAGAGTCTGTCCTCACTGGGTCATCGCCAACGAAGGTCCTTTCTTGCCGTCAATATGGCTGGCACCTTTTATTCTTATGGTTGGGCCTTCTGTCCTAACATCTAAATAAGCAACACCTCCCTACTTCTTGTAAGGAAGAGAAGTGCGTGTTCTTGACCTCAGAGCCCAAAGTGCTGATCACCTGGGGCGGGTTTCTCTAGATGTCCTCCAGCTGTGTGTGCGCCAAGACCCCTGGAGACCCAGGTCTCCAAGTGGAAGTCTTTGGGGATAGGGTCCTGAAATCTAGATTGGTAACAGTCTTCAGGGGAGGTTCTTATAGACATTAAAATTAGGAAATGACTGCCCTGAAGCTGTGCGGCTTCAGCGTTCCCTGTTTTCCTTTGTTCTTTTTTAAGTGTGTGAGCTGGCTGCTTCCTTACTTTCCCGCATCCTGGCCTCTGCTGCAGCATTAGTGCCGTCCACTCCTCTGCACCCTTTGCTGGGAGGGAGCCTCAGGGAGTGCGTGCACACCCAAGTCAGCTGGGGATTTTCCTCAGAGCTTTCCAAAAGCATGACTCGCGCATCTGGATTACGGCTGTCCTAGAATTAAGGCCCCTTGGTGCAATCAAGCTCAGTGTCAAGGGTGGAGTCTGGGACTCCCTGCAGCGGCTGAGAAGACCAGGGAGATAGCCTCGGACAAAGCCAGTGGGGCCATGGAGAGATTTTGGATTTTGCAGCCACCTAGAGGAATGGGCAGGGCACAGGACCTTTCAGCCCATGAGGGCAGATGTGCTGGGCATTGGGGCCTGGAGCTCTCCACCTGGGGCCGCCTGCAGCTTGTGTTTCTGCTTCAGTTTAATCCACTCCATTGTCAGTCATGCCGGTACCCACAACCCTCAACCATGCAGACCCCTCCCTCTAGCCCATGCCCTATTGCTCTGGGTGTCCAGCTTCGTCTCATCGAGATGGATTCCCCCGAGCTGACCACTCCCTTGGCAGCTGCTGGGACTTTAAGGAGATGGCTCTGGAGGCCCCTCAGATTAAGAACCATGAAGCCACTACCCCCAGCTTCCTTTAAGTCCTCTCTCCTGTCCTCCTCTACCTTGTTTCACCCCTGTCCTCTCTGCCCCCATCTCTCTTTTGCCCTTCCTGCCTTGATGGATTGAAACCAATGTTGTGTTCCGGCTTCTTGTGGTCCCGGTAAAAAGCTCTAAAGTGGTCGTGGTGGATGGGGAGAAGGGAGTGACGAGAGTGTGTGTGCCGGAGCGGGGGCTGGGGACTTTTGTCTGTCTCTGATGGGAGGAGGAGGGGCATGTGTTCCACAGATCCTGCCCCTATGCTGGGGTTTCAGCAGAACCCCCCCACACCCCCCTCCCACTGTGGGGGCTAGACAGCCTGGGACCAGCCTGGGTATCCTTAGAACCTCCCTTGGATAGGAAGAGGAGTTCAGCTCAGCAAAGGTGCCGATGGCCTGAAGAGTTCAGTCCGGGGCCAAGAGACATTTCCATTTGTAGTTAGCAAACAGGAGTTAATTAAACAACTTACACCTGTTTGATTTTCTTACTATGCCTTAGTGGCTGGGCTGTGTTTGTTCCTGATGTTGTTGCCGCAAACAGGAAGCCCACTTGGGGATAGATTACATGACAGAATAAGTTTAATATCAACATTTTCACAATCAGTGGAGAGCAGGGCTTGGCCACAGGGGCAAGGAAGGGCTGAGATATCAGGTAGTCAATTCTCCCTCCTGCCTGGGGGATGTCTTCATAGCTCTTGTGCTGAACACTCTTCTTTTGTGAATCACGACTGAGATGCTGCAGGGGTCTGTGTGCTTTCTGATTTGAATCTATACCCAGTGGCTCTCACCATGGGACGTGTCTAAGTGGGGAAGCCACTGGACATGCCAGCCTTTGCTTTGCAGCTCCCCACTTCTCAGACCATATGAGCCTAAACTTGAGGGATGAGAAGATGCAAAGGATGGAGGGGACCACCGACCCAGGAGGGAAATTCTGGCACCTCACAGTGTAGGCAGCAGAGGGGGTGCCCCGGCCCAGGAGGGGGCCTGCAGCTTTCTAGGCACAGTGAGAAGGAAAGCCAGCTCTTCAGATTTCAGCCAGCCGGTCCAAGGGGCCCCATCCTCAAGAGAACCACCCCAGAGATCTGAGTGCAGCTGAGATCTGTGTCCAGTGCTTTGCCCCTCTAGAAACAGCCAGCTGAGGTTTCTTCTTTTTTGTTAAGTAAGGAGCTCAGTTCTTTGGAGGGAGCGGGCATGAAAGTCAGCCTCCCTCATCCTTTAGTGAGAGGACCCCTTTACAATGATAACGGGGGATTGGAAGAGGCAGCTGTGCCTGGTCCTGATCTCAGCAGCCTTTAGGGCCAGGTTGGTGGAGATTCAGAATGTATTTTAGCCAAAACCCCCTTTCGGTTCAGACCAGCTCCCACCCCTGGGCCCTGGGCCACTGCAATACTCTGGCCTTGTGTTGTTTGGGGCTGGTGTTGGCTGAGGTCCTGAAGCCTTGGGGAAAGCTGGGGGCAGAGAGGTAGATCTGGAGAGGTAAGTGAGAAGGGCATCCAGCTCCCAGGGTGTGTGTGTGTGTGTGTGTGTGGTGTGCATGGGGATGCAAGTGCTTGATGGAGCATCTCTGTGCTAGCTCTTGGTGCTGTAACATGGCTGGCCTGTGTGGCCTGTGGTTTCTGTGTGTGTGTATGTTGCTCTGGATGTTCTCGTTTTGTGGTCGTCTGATCACTTGTTTTTGGCCATAGGCTTCTGTCAAAGTGTTTATTTTTAGAGGCTGCCACTTCTGGCCTAAGGGCTGATCCTTGGGCATGGTAGGAACATTTGCATTTCCTGAAATATTTGTGGCTTAAAGTATTTATTTGGGGTTATTCTTGCCTGTTATGTGTTTATTCTACTTTGTGTGTATGGTGTGTGTGTGTGCGTGTGTGTTTGTGATAGGAGAGAGGTGTAGCATAATAAAAATTGCATAGTCTTTGAAGGAAATTAGTTCTGATTTTAAATCTTGGCTTTATCCTTCGTCAGGTAGCATTGTCTGCAATGGTTTCCCCTCTCAGAGACTCAGTTTATCTCTGGCTGTGGTCGGTGTAATTCTCTCTGTCTGGGAGGTGATGGCCACAGAGGATGCAAGTGTAGAGTGCCCAGTGAAGTGCTGGTGTCCGGGCTGCGTTCACTGCATGGTGGCTGGTGTTGTTGATGTCTGTGTGTACATGGCCACGCCAGTGCTTTCCGACTGTGGTTCTTAGCATTGCGCGGTATCCAGTGCGTGCGCACGCCTGGGTGTTTCTGATTTGGGTGATCTCTGATTGTCTTTGTGTCTGGGTCGCTGTGTGACTGCTGGTATCTGTCTGGAGCTGGTTCAGTCTTTGGGAGGGGGCTTTTTCCTTGCTAACGGAGAGCCTGGATAAGAGTAAGGGGAGGGGAAGTGCTTGTGTGTGTGTGTGTGTGCGTGTGCGTGTGTGTGTGCGTCTGTCGGGGCTGGCAGCTAGGCTGCTGACTGTACAGGGTGTGAAATCACTGAGTTCCTCTGGGCGGGGAAGTTCTTCATTCCTGAGTCAGCCCTTTGGCCCCAAGCCACCCAGCGCTGACTTTTTCCTTCCAGAGAAAGTGTTGCTTGGGGGGTCCTCAGAGCTGTCTGCAGACAGGAGGACCCTCTCCCCACTGAAGACATCTCGTTTTTGTGTTCACGATCCCTAAGATGCTTCCCCTCCTACCCTAGTCCCCGAACTCCCTGCAAAGGCACCTATATGTCCCCATCCTCCAGCACAGGAAAAGCGTGTCCCCTCTGGCACTGGGGCTGTTGGCTCGGCTGAGCCCCACCTTGGCCCATACTTCAGGGGCCCCTGGGCTGGCTCAGAGCGGTGGGATCAGGACACTCATCTTTGCAGACCTGCTGCAATCCTTCCCTGGGCCCGCGACCCTTTCCTGTAGTCTTGGGTAGTATGGGCTGAGCTTGCTGGTGGAGGGTAAGGGGTCCATAAGGGGTGGGCAGTCCTGGGGAAGAGCTGGGAGGAGGCTTTGAGAATGTGGCAGTGAGCAGCATGAATGACATTGTATCTCTGAATGGTTCTAGGGCATTCTTTGCATTGAGCTGGAGACAAACCTAGCTGAGGGTGGCAAGCTTGTCTTAGAGAGTCCCAGCTCTGTCTTCAGCCTCCCTGCCACTACCACCTTGGGCGTGGTGGGTCCTTTGCTGTACCCTACTGCCCTCCTGGGCTCTCCCCCTGCTTCCCTGGGCAAAGACTATCCTCAGGAATGACTTGCTGTCCATGCTGATACCTCTATGGGCATTCAAGGCAACGGCTACTCTCCTGGCATTCTGCCTCTCACTCAGGGTGGGAACGCCAGAAATTGAAGCAGGGGTGAGACTTTCTGAGATGGGGTGGTGGAGGGGACTGAGGATGCTTTGGAAATGGTCATTCAGGAATTAATGATACTCATAATGGTGATGGTTAGGGTTCCCAGCTGTTGACCTCCCACCACGTGCCAGGAGCTGGTCTCAGCACATCATGTGTCAACTCATTTAAACTCGAAGCACTGTGTGTTTAATGAATGTTGGCAATTTCAGATGCTTCAACCGGATTCTATGATTACCCCATTTTATGGACCAGAAAACTGGCTCAGAAGCTGGTGAAATGTCAGAGCTAGGCTTGGGACTGGAGGAATTTGCCCTGAGCACTCCCTGCTCACGTGTTGGGCTCCATTGCCTGGCCCTGTGTTGGTGAGGATGCAGGGAATGGGAACTCTTAGCCCCTTTCTCTGGGAGAGTGAACAATACCCCTGCCTCCCACTGATGTCTGCTGTCTTTTGTCTCCCCCCGGCTCTGTCCTTGCAGAGGTGGTGGGACACACACAGGGGCCACTGGATGGGAGCCTGTATGCAAAGGTAAAGAAGAAGGACTCCCTGCACGGCAGCACCGGGGCTGTTAATGCCACACGTCCTACACTGTCGGCCACCCCCAACCACGTGGAGCACACGCTTTCTGTGAGCAGTGACTCGGGCAACTCTACAGCCTCCACCAAGACAGACAAGACTGATGAGCCTGTCCCCGGGGCCTGCAGTGCTCCTGCTGCCCTGAGTCCCCAGGAGAAGCGGGAGCTGGACCGCCTGCTGAGCGGCTTTGGCTTAGAGCGAGAGAAGCAAGGCACCATGTACCATGCCCAGCACCTCAGGTCCCGCCCAGCGGCAGGCCTGGCTGTGCCCTCCTCTGGACGCCACGTTGTCCCAGCACAGGTTCATGTCAACGGTGGGGTGTTAGCATCTGAGCGGGAGACAGACATCCTGGATGATGAGTTGCCAAACCAGGATGGGCACAGTGCGGGCAGCATGGGCACGCTGTCTTCCCTGGACGGGGTCACCAACACCAGTGAGGGGGGCTACCCAGAGGCCCTGTCCCCACTGACCAATGGTCTGGACAAGCCCTATCCCATGGAGCCTATGGTCAATGGAGGAGGCTACCCCTACGAGTCCTCCAGCCAGGCGGGGCCTGCCCATGCTGGCCACATGGCCCCCATGCGGCCCTCCTACTCTGCCCAGGAGGGTTTAGCTGGCTACCAGCGGGAGGGGCCCCACCCAGCCTGGCCACAGCCAGTGACCACCTCCCACTATGGCCATGACCCCAGCGGTATGTTCCGCTCTCAATCCTTTTCGGAAGCTGAACCCCAGCTGCCCCCAGCTCCAGCCCGAGGAGGAAGCAGCCGGGAGGCTGTGCAGAGGGGGCTGAATTCATGGCAGCAGCAGCAGCAGCAGCAGCAGCCTCGCCCACCTCCACGCCAGCAGGAAAGACCCCACTTGGAGAGTCTTGTAACCAGCAGGCCCAGCCCTCAGCCATTGGCAGAGACCCCCATCCCCAGTCTCCCTGAGTTCCCGCGGGCAGCCTCCCAGCAGGAGATTGAACAGTCCATCGAGGCACTCAATATGCTGATGCTGGACCTGCAGCCAGCCTCGGCTGCTGCCCCGCTACATAAGTCCCAGAGTGTCCCTGGGGCCTGGCCAGGGGCTTCTCCACTCTCCTCCCAGCCCCTCTCCGGATCCTCCCGTCAGTCCCATCCACTGACTCAGTCCAGATCGGGCTACATCCCCAGTGGGCATTCCTTGGGAACCCCCGAGCTGGCCCCACGGGCCTCCCTGGAGTCTGTCCCTCCTGGCAGGTCTTACTCACCTTATGATTATCAGCCATGTTCGGCTGGGCCTAACCAGGATTTCCGTTCAAAGAGCCCAGCCTCTTCCTCCTTGCCTGCCTTCCTTCCAACCAGCCACAGCCCTCCAGGGCCTCAGCAACCCCCAGCCTCTCTCCCTGGCCTCTCTGCTCAGCCTCTGCTCTCACCAAAAGAAGTGACTTCAGACCCCTCTCGGACTCCAGAGGAGGAGCCATTGAATTTGGAAGGGCTGGTGGCCCATAGGGTAGCAGGTAAGAGATATTCCATCCTGACTCCTTCTACCCCTTCCTTATTTGGTCTTGCTGGGGGGAGGTGCAGGCCCAGCCATGACCTCTAAGCAGGCGTTGCTTTCACTGGCGGGAAGAGGCTCTCTGGAGCCTACATGCTTGTCAAGTTTTCCCTTCCTGCGTTCATTGTCTGTTAGGCACCAAGCCAGACACCAAATTTCAAAGTTCAATGTCGAGCAATTCCTGCCCTCAAGGAGTTTATAATCTAGTAATTGGTCAGGTACACAGACAGATGACTTCGTTAGAGAGTAATGTGTGCTGTGACAGAGACAGGATCAAGATCCCAGAGCCTGAGAAAGCAAAGCTTACCACCTAGGGCAGTCAGGGAAAGCTTCTAGGTGGTGGTGACTTTGGGGCTGGAGTACCGACTTTCTAGACAGATAGGAGACTCTGCAATTGCTTGTCATGCTGTCTGTCCTCAGACTTCAGTTCCTTGGGGGACACATTGAGAAGGCTGGTGGGAAACCTTAGATCCCCCCCTCCCAGAGACCATGAAAGAGCCTAAGAATGTATCCTCAAGCTCTTGGGCTCTGTCTGCTGAGGCCTTTTGGGATATTGTCTTTGCAGGGTGGCTAAGGTCCCCCTTCTGAGTCAGTTTTCCTGTTAGTCCTTGCTGAGGACCAGCCCTGTGTGGGAAGCAGGCACTGAGAGACAAACCTCCTTTCCCTATCAGAGAGTGGGCTTCTCTTTTGGGAGAGCAGAAAGTGGGACACTCAGAAGAGCTTTTGGGGAGACAAAGGCAAGAAATGGCAGCGTGTCCAGGGCCAAGTTGGGAGGGGCAGCTGTGAGCCTCCCTTCCTGCTGGTCTGAGCTTGCGCTGATTCCACAGGGGTGGCTGAACTGGGCAGGAAAGCTGGTTGGGTGACTTTATTCTGGAGGTGAAGCGCAGGCAGGGGTGGACCAGAGACTGTGGGTTTGGGTGGGCCTTGTGCCAGCACCTCAGCTGACAGAGTGGTAGGAACTCAGCAAGGAGGCGAGGAGCCTGGGCAGCTGTCTCTGTCCTCCACCCCTTTTCCTAAATTTAGGGGAAGCTGAGTCACCATGCCAGCTGCAGGGAGAGAAGGAGACACCCTCCCTGGAGATGAACTATGGGTTTGGGGAAGCAGTTTAGGGCAGGCCAGCTGGCTCGGGACCTGGGTGTGGGGTCACAGGCACCCTGCTCCTATGCTTCAGAGCAGAGCAGAGTCCCCAGCCCCACTATTGGTATAATAGCTTGAAATTGGCCAGCGCAGAAGTATTTACACCATGGAAATTGGCAATCAGCCTCATCTCCCATAGAGAACTGGTCTAGCAGTAACCATTGCTTTTACCTGAGCATCAGAACACAGGATGGGCAGCTCTTAATCCTAGGGATGAAATGCTCCAAGGGTGGCCCAGATGGGCTTTGACTTCTGCCTTCTCCATATCTCGGCCCCTGAGATAAAGATACCCCCCTGCACCCCCTCCCCACACCACTGGCTTTGTCAAAAGAGACCCTTTTCCTCTTGATTTTATCAAGGGGAGAGGGATGGGGCTCCCTAAATTCCCTGGGAATTTAATTCCCTTCCCAATATTTTGCAAGGTTGGAGTGGTGTCCTAAAGATTAGTGATACGCTAGTTTAACAAGGGGCAGGATACAGGAGCCTTCTCTCTGGGGGATCGGAATACATTTCTTCCCTACAAGAACCCTTCCATGTAGCTCTCCCAGAGCTTGCTCAAGACGAGGCCATAACCCTAATGGCTCTGGCAGGATGCCCGTCTTGTAGTGGACTTCACTTTAGCCCTTTCTCTCCTACCAGTTTTTGAGGGCTCGACTGTCCGCTTCTATATTCTGTAGCCTCTCAGGCTTGGCTGCCATGAAATCACAGGGAGGGAAGGATACTGTTGTCACAATGTTCCCATTCCCTAACCCTGTCACCATCTTCTCCATCAATTGCGAGGGACTCAGGAGAAGGGCTGAAATGTATATGGGGGACAGTTATGTTTGGTTCCCAGGGCTATGAAGTTGCCTCTTTGGAACTTATTTATGCATTCATGTCGGCAGGTCCTGCATGCATAACTTCCTTAGTAGCCCTTCAGGGTATCTGCCATGCTGTGCAGATAAAGGCAGGCAGACAAGATCAATGTGTAGAGCAGTCTGGGAGCCAGAGAAGATGACTTCCAGCACTGCTTCTTTTTGCTCTTTCTACATCTCTGCTGTAAGAAGCTGGAACATAGACTTTGACATGAGCAACCTAGGAAACTCAGATCTGTGGGAGAACCTCTTCATGGCCATGAACTTGATCTGATTTCTCCTGGCTTTTCTCCCTTAGCTCTGCCTTTTTCCCCTTGGCTGTCCTCCATACCTCAGTCCCCTGTCCCTGGTTCATTCCACCTTGATCCAATCACCCCTTGTATCTTATTTCAGCTGAAGTTTTAAAGAATGTAGGGGCAGTTTTCTAATTTGATAAAGGGTAGGGACCAGAAACCTATAGCATACATCACACTTTCCTGTGAAGCATTGGAAGCATCCCTATTACAGCCAGGGACAAAATAAGGATGTCTATTATCACCACTAGCATGTATCATTGTATTGGATGTCCTAGCCAGTACACTAGGACAAGAAAAATAAGAGTCAGAGTTGGAGAGTCCAACTGAGTTATCTTATGTCCTTAATTCTGTGCCTAGACTGATCTCAGATGTCTCTAGAGGTGGAGATTTCAATGCATGTTGGAAATCAGATATGGATCTTATCCTTAAGGAGTCTAAGTTTCAGTAGGGGGATAAAAACTGGAACTTTAAAATAGTCTGTTGTAATAAGAGAGGTAAGGAGAAAGCTTTGCAGGATGGAGGTAAAGAGATCGCTATCAATTGGAGATTGGGGAGGTGGTGTTAAGTGTGGCTTTAAACTGAGCTTTGGAAGATGGATAAGATTTTGAAAGTGAATGGGATCACTGGGTAGACAGGGTTCACAGCGAAGACAGGAGAGCACCGAGAATGTTTGGAGAACAGCAAGTAGATTGAGAGCATACGGTCTGTGTGAGGGAGAGTCGGGATAGGTAGCCTGGGTCTGTCTCTGGATGGTCTTATATACCAGACCAAGGAGCTTGCATCTTACCTGGCAGCAATGTGAGAGGCCATTCCTATGGTTTCATCGGGGGAACATGCCATGACCAGAGCTGAGCTTCAGGATGATGTGTTTAGTGGGTCTGGCAGGAAGGACATTCCATGGGAGACTTTGAGCCTGGAGATGCTGGGAGCTTATTAGATAGCCTAAGTGATGCGGGGCTGGATTAGGGTGCTGATCATAGGAATGCCAATGAAGGGAGGATGGCCTGGATACTGTGGGAGTAGAACCAATGCACTTTTGTGTTGATTGGCTGGAGAGGGCGAGGGAGCGGGAACATCAAAGATAATTCTGAGGCTCTGTGAATAGAAATAGAATGACGGTTCTATTAACAAGTGGGAAGGCAGGAGGAGCACATTGGGTGGAAGATGAAGCCTTGGTGTTAGACATGTTGAGTTTGAGGGGGCAGTGGAGCAGCCTCCAGGGAGAGACTTATGGAAGGCAGTTGAACATTGGAATTGAGCTTGAAAGAATGGGAAGAGCTACAGGTTTTGGAATCATTCTCACAAAGGTGATGGTATGTTTCTCACAAAGCTTTGGGTGTGTTTGAGATCTCAATGCCAGGGCTTGTAGAGAAAAGAACTTAGGACGGAATAACCTCGAAGGGAGGTTGAGGCTGCAGAGGGACTGAGAGTGTGTGCTTGGGTGGTGGCAGGAGACAGGACAGCGTGTCATCATAGAAGTCAAGATAGTAAAGGATTTCAAGGAGGAAGGGCAGGAGGTTAGCAATGTCAGCCTGGAGAGATCATGAGGAGGACTGAGAAAGATCCACTGGGCTTGCCAACTGGTGACCCTGTGTAAAACATCAAAGGCATCAGAGGCATAATTTCCTTGCGCGGTGGTGATAGAAACCAGACTGCGAGGGATTGAGGAAGAGTGGAGGAGGAGTGAAGACGGCAAGCCAACTATTCTTTTGAGTGGTTTTGCGATCAGAAGGGAGAGAGCGGTAGCTAGAGAGGATAGTGAGAGATTGGGAACTTTTTGTAAATATAGGAGTCATGAGAATGTTTATATGTAGAAGAAAAGGGGAGTAGGTTGGGCATGGGGGGAGGAAGGAGGGGAAAAAGAAGAGAAAGAAAGAAGTTGATAGAATAAGGCCTCTAAGGAGGTAAGAGGGGAGAGGCCTGGGAGCCCACGTAGGTAAATTAGGCTCAACCAGGAGGTGAGATACCTCTTCATGGAATTAGAATAAAGGGTGGATAAAGATAGAGGGAAATACTGATGTCAAGCTTTGGGAACTTGTTTTTTTCTTTTTTACATTTTGTTCTGAAAATAGGAGATGAGCTCAAGGCTCGTTTAATCATTCATTCAACATGAGCTTCCAATGGGTGCTACTTGCCAGTCTAGGCTTTGTCAAAATGGTGGCAAACAAGACAAGGAAAAATCCTTGCCCTCACGGCTGATATGGACAGTGAACAAGTAAGCAAATACACATAGGATATGTCAGATGGGCGACATGTGCCACCGAGATAAAGCAGTGGAGGTAGGTGGTGGCTGGCTGTACCTTACATAGGATGGTCAGGGCTAGGCAGTGAGAGATGAGCCCCATGGAGCCGCAAGTGCAGAGGCCCAAGGCAGGAATGTGCCTGGTGTGGCTGGAGCAGAGTGATCAAGGGAGGCATGGCAAGACACAAGTTCAGAGAGGAAATGGGAATGGGGACAGCTTGCAGAGGGTCCTGGAGGTGATTGCAAGAATGGTGGCTTTTACTCTGTGTGGTGTGAGAAGCCTTAGCAAGGATTTGGGTCCAAGAGTGACATTATCTGTCTTGTTCTGAATTGGCCAGTGTGGGCAGGATGGAAGGAGGGAGACCAGTGAGGAGGCTGCTGCTACTCATCTGGGCAGTGGTCACGGACAGGGGAGATGTGCTCAGATGGCAGACATATTTTGGAGGTAGAGCCAGTAAGATTAGTGATAGATTAGACATGGGACGAGAGAGAAAGAGAAAAGTCAGAGACAACGCTTAGGTTTGGGGCCTGAGCAACTAAAGACTGGAGCTGATCTTTATTGAGATGGGTAACAATTTAGGAAGAGCAGGCTTCGGGGGAACACTAGAAGCATGATTTTTGGACACATTAAGTTTGAGATGATCATGAAACATCTGCAGTGGTTGGATAAATGAGTCGGGAGTTTAAGGAGAAGACGCTGGAGCTTAGAGATGTGGGAATTGTCACTGTGTACATGCCATGTAAAGCATAGCACTGGGCGATGTCACTGAGGGGTTGAGGACAGGTTAGGAGAGGTCCCAAGGATGGAGTCCTGGAGCCCTGGAGACTCCCACATTTTGAGGCTGCAGACAGGAGAGGGAACTAGTATAGGACCTGGCATGGAGCAGCTTGTGGAGGAGAGGAAAGGTAACATAGCTGGAGCTCGGGGGGGCAGGGCAGGGCAGCGTTGGCCACTCGTATGGCCCCTGTGGTGTGAACGTGGGTGAGAAGTCAACAAGGGGCAAGGGAAGGGTAACACAGCAGGTCCTTCTAGTGCATCTGAGAAGGCTTGTCTTAAGGAGTTTTCTGGGGATGACCAGAAGCTAGGGACAGAGCAGAAAAGCACAAGGGGTTCCCTAGGAAAGAGGATTACTCAGATGGCTGTGGTAAAAAGCCCCGGTGTGAGAGAGGGTGACCCTTGGGCTCAGGCTAGGTGTGTCACCTGGGTCCAGGGAGAGGCAGGTGCCAGGAAAAGAGGGGAGGTCCAGGGATAGGACTGCTGCCTGTGGGAGCGGGTAAGGTATGTGTGAAGTCTCCTGGTCCCACGCTGGCACCTCTGCTTCGACCCTGGGGTTGGGAGAGACGAATACACTGTGCTGCTGGCCAGCAGGAGGTCTACCTGCCTTTTGGAGAAGCAGGACCTTGGATTCCCCCGTCCTGCTTTTCCTGTCTGACACCTTCCCCACCTCCCTCCAGTGTGTGCCCAGATCCCAGAGTCAGAATGCCAACTAATCTTGATTTTCTCTTTGTTTTTGTTTTGTTTTGTCTTGTTTAATGCCTCGTCCCCTGCATTCTCTGTGTTTCCCGTGTCCATCTGTTCCCTGTGCTGTTGGTGGGGTGCCTTCTTGCCCCATGTCCTCCCTTCCTGCCTACATCCCACTCTCTGCTGGCTCCTCTGGGGTGGGGGGTGGGCAGCATACAATGCCAGGCTGCAGGGCATCAGGCACAGTGGCAGCTTCCCGCGCCCTCCTCTCCACCAGCTCCGAGCTTCCTCCCTCTCTGGTGGGTGGCTCTCCTTCCCCCTTCTTCCTTTCCAGCTCTTTGGCCCACTTTTGAGCCACAATTTCTCTCTTTTTCGCTCCTTCTTCATTGCTATTCCTTCCAAACCTTTGCCCACCTTCTTCCTTCTCTCCTGTCTTTTCCTCTCCCTCTTCTGTTGTTCTCTGGTTTCCATCTGCTTCTTCTTCTCCTCCCCTATTTCTCACTGTCCTCTCTTCTGTCTCCGCACTTGCTTCTCTGTTCCTCCTGTCTCCAGCCCTCTCTCCCTCCTCTCTGCATGAACCAGAGCTCACTTCTGCATGCACATGGGTCTCACACTAGCCTTGGCCTTGCCTGCTGGGAACAATGTCTGGAGTGACTAGACTAACATTCAGGGTCCCCTGTGGAGATGCAGACCGTGGCAATGAGGGTGCTCAGTGAGGGCTCCAGACAGTCCAGCACTCCGGCCACCCTAGCCAGACTGCCTGGGCTGCAGGGCTATGTCTCAGCAGGAGCCAGGCTGAGCTTTGCACGGGGCTACCAGACACAACACAGAGTGGTGCCCCAGCCCCTGCTGCTCTGTCCACTCTTGAGCATGGCACACCCTGGGGACAGCAAACCCCCTCGGGTCCCCACCCCTAATCTCTGATCCCATGGCCAAGAGTCAGAAGCTCTGGGTTGGGGGCCTGGCCCTGCCTGTGAACACCTCTGTGACCCTGGGCAAGTCTGTTTACTATTTAGAGCTGTTTCCCAATGTGAAAAGTGGACAGATGACAGTCCTGTCCTGTTGTGTATTTTGCACGGTGGCTTGACATGCCCTGGATGGATTATGCCATCCACTAACATCTACCCCTGGCTTCTGGGACATGTAGGCCCTTAGGCATTGCACCCTGGCTGGGGAATCACTTCATCCTTTCCCTGCACCTCCGATCCTGGCGGCTGAGTCAGGGAAGATGCTGTGCTCAGGCTTGTCCCAAACCATGGCCCTGAGCAGCTCTGGGAAAGGCCTAGGGGTGATGGGAACTGTTGATTCCCAATGGCAGTATCTGGCGCCTCCACGGCCCCTCCTTCTCCTCGTCCAGGGATAATCAGGAGATGGTTCTAGCTGACTGCTCCTTTCAACTACCCCTCCCTCCTCTCTTTTCTCTCTGCCCAGTGGTGGAGAGTACAGTGGTCAACTGGGCCTGGGGAGGGGCAGGCTCTGGGATGGTGGGCCTGCCCTGAGGAGAGCTGGCATGGCTTGCTCTAGGGCTGCTAGTGTGATCGCCGTGTGGCTTTCTGGTGCCCTGGCCCAGCAGGTGGCCTCCTGGATCCCCTCGCTTCCGGAGCCCCAGGCGTGCCGTCGGACACCCACCCCTGCCACCTGGAGCTGAGGAATCCAGTCTTTTGGAAATCGGAAGGTTGGGAAGAAGAGCTGGATCTGTGAGGGTGGCAGTGCCAGTCTGGGGGGTGCAGGGGAGGCACCTCATGAAGCCTGACAGCAGGATATTCTTCCACATGATCTGGGGGCGGTAGGCAGCAGTGCTTTGCCAAAGTATGTACATCGATCTGTGTCAGGACTACAGCTCCTAGAATTGCAGGGTGTGTGCATGTGCGTGTGAGTGTGTGCGTGTGTGTGTCGCAAGAAGGGGATTAATTGCCTCCAGTCTGGTTCACGCTAGGGGAGCCTTGGAGAGACGCCTCCCTGGGAAGAGCGCTGCTCTGGTGCCCTGCCCCTCAAGTCTGGGGGCCTGGGTGGAACCATGGAGCTGGGGTAACTGCTCATCCTGGCAGGGATGTGGGGAAGGCCTGTGCCATGTGTGAAGCAGCCCTTAGAGGACACCCAGGGCTCCTTGAACATAGGGTGTGAGGGTCCTAAAAATACTTTGTTGTCGTAGGGGTACTCCAGCCTTCTCAGGCTCCTGGGAGCTTCTCTTCCTTTCTTCCTCTGGCCACACGGCTTCCTACCGGGGTAAGGGCTGGCCCTAGAGGTTCCAAGGGTGTCCCAGTGACCCCACTATGTACCCCCGTCATCCCAGTGTCCTGATGCCATTTCTGTTAGGCTGTGTGTGTACATGCAAGTATGCACATGTGTGTCTGTGCAAGGCACCTACCTCTGCCAGGGTGGGTGTAGGAGACAGAGACCCTGAGAAAATGGGGCAAAGAGACCGAGAAAGCCCTGGGGTGGAGGGGGTGGTGGGAGGGAGGGAGGTGGGGGGAACAGGGCTATTTTTATTATCGGTCAGCCTCTGGGACGTGAGAGAGGGTGTTCTCTCCCCGACAGTGGCTGTCAGCTTGTGTCCAGACACCCCAGCTTGGCTAAGGAACAATGGGGCTCTCTTCTCTCCCCTCTGCCACGCCAGTCTCCCCTCCCATAGAGCAAGACAAGAGAGAGGGAACATGGCTTTCCAGGCACTCCAGGCAGGTCTGGGCTTGCCAACGGGGACAACAGTGGGACACTGTGTTCAAAGAATGTGAGTGGCCCTGACTGGCCATTGGTGCCATGGGGCCATTGGTGCTCTGCAGGGGGAGGGGCTGGCCCTGTGGGAGTGGAATGCAGGGTCTCCCCCTTCCGCAGAGGGAGGCGCTGCCCTGCAGCTCCTTAGCTCTTTGGAGGTCATTCCCTCCATTTCCCTGCCTCTGGTCAGCACACGCTCCCACGTGCTATTCTGATGGTGATGGAGAGAGGATTGGGAAGGTGCAGCTCACCCTCGGAGGGCTGACTGCCTTGTGCCGGGGTCACACATTCTCCACGGTTGTCTGGCTCCCTCCTCCCGCACCCCAGGCTGCTGTGGGCATCTGTGGCCCCTGAATGTGGAGAATGCTCTGGGCAGAATGTTCTTTGTTTTTCCAGGAGATTTGGTGTCTCAAAGGCAAACAGATCTATTTTTTAAGGGCAAACATTAGATCCCAAGCAGGAAAACTGGCCACCCTTTGAAAAGGCAGAGGGCTCTGCTGGAAAGAGCTGCTGGGGGCAGAGGAGCCCGGAACTGAGACCAGCCCTAATGCATTTCTTTTAACCTTGGGGCTAAACTCAGTTCCAAACCCCAAGAGCCTTTCTCAAATGGGCCTCTTTTGTCACAATTATTGTTAGAAAATCAATGGCTATGTCTGTTTCTCTCTAATGTTTTTGCCAGGAATGAAACCAGTGACAGGGTTGGTCCAAGCTGCCCCGGAGGCCTGAGTGGGGCGGGGGCTCCGGGGATCTGAGGCCTGAGAGCCTGGGGTTGCTGTAGGGCTGCAGCAAGCTGCCCACCTTTCCCAAAACCACACTCTTCTTTCTAGACTCCATGTAGCTTCTCCTAGCAGCCTCTGGCTGGGTCTAATGGTCCTATTTTTCTATTCTGCGAATAAGGGCTCTTCAAGATGGTGGGGCTTAGTTGCTTTAAGTGGAGCAGTTTGTAAGTGGCAGAGTGAGGTCAGAGTCTAGTTCACTGTCCCTATCCTGGGTGCCATATTCTTAGCTGAGATGGCAGCAGGGCTGCCCCTGATTCAAAGATCCCAAAGTGGAGACTCAAAGCACCACTCGGGTACCTTCTGCATTTAATTTGCAAGTGCCGGTCCTGCTGCTCTCCCGATGCACCACCCACCCCTGCACACTGGAGCCCCTGATTATGGGAGAGTATAAGGGCGTGTCTCAGAGCGACTGTGCCTATGTGAGTCTGAGTGTGTGTCTGCCCGTAAGCTTGGCAGCCAGCAGCTTGCTGTTCATGACACGTAGGAAGGCTTCCCAGACGGCGCTGTTTGTGGCAGCCTTTGTGGCTATGCCAGACTGGGGGTGCTGGGGGGTGGGCCTGGGGACATGCAGTCCTCACTGTGGATGGCAGAAGGTGTTTCCGTTTGAATGAGGGTGACTTCTTTTTGGCTGTACTGCCACATTCCTAGAGGATGGCAGTGTGTGTGTGCACACGTGCACACACTGACACGTGATCTGGGGCCTTTGGCCAGTCCTAGTGGTAGTGAAGGCAGGGCTGAGAATCTCCACCCAGAAGATATTCAGGACCAGAAGCCCACCCTTCCGGCTGGGTCTTGGCCTCTGGGACCCAGGAAGTGAGTTTTCTAGGATTCTGGGAGCCAGCTCAATGAGGCAATGGATTCCATGCCTCAGCCCAGCTGTGGGAAGAGGGTGTGGGAAGGAAGGAGGGTGAGATGAACAGCATCCCCAGTCCTGTGGAGTGGGATTGGGATGGGGAGTACAGAAAAGCAGATGGAGCATATGACTTCTTTCTGCCTGCTCCTCAGCTGGGAGGGACAGGATGGGATCCCCCGTCATCTTTGGGGCAGGGAAAACAGGGCAGGGAGCTAAAGGGCCAGTATAAGGGGAGTTGGTAAGAGGTTTCAGCGGTGCACTGGATGAAGTTGGGGAACCCCAGAGAAGGCCAAAAATATCCCAGAGGCCAACGGGGGCCAGGGACTTTGTAACAAGACTTAGCCATGTCTTTGTTTTTCCTTGGGAGCGCCATTTGCAAGATGATGCAATCTAGTTCTTTCCAAGAGTTCTTCCCCACAGGCTTGATGTTGCTGCTTGGTTGATGCAGTTGCCTTGGAGACTCTTTTCCCTCCACCTCCCCTCCCTCGTCTGGAAGCTCCGGCCCTCCGCCTCCAGGGGTTGGAAGTAGTTGACATCTGTTTCTTGTATCAGTCCTTTGTGCTCTCGGTCTCAGCCCTGAGTGGAGGGATTCCTGGTGAAGGCTGAGTCAGTCTAAGCAGATCTCTCCTGCAGAGAAAACCTGGGGTGTGAACAGAGTGGGCGCAGGAGGGCTGAAGGGAGATACTAGGGGTTGACAGGCCAGCCCCAACTCAGCTTCTGGGCTAGGAGGCACTGCCATCTCTGAAGGGATTAGGCCGATTGATCATTTCTTGTACAAAATGCTCATTGTCCTCTGCACCCTGCATTCCTCCCAGGGGCACAGGCTCGGGAGAAGCAGCCGGCAGAGCCCCCAGCCCCTCTGCGGAGGCGGGCGGCCAGTGATGGACAGTATGAGAACCAGTCTCCAGAAGCCACATCCCCCCGTAGCCCTGGGGTTCGCTCCCCTGTCCACTGTGTCTCCCCCGAGCTGGCTCTTACCATCGCTCTTAATCCTGGAGGGCGGCCCAAAGAGGTGAGTCCTGAAGCTGCATCTGGGGCCCACCAAGGGTAGTGGTGCCCACTTTAAATCTCCAGAAACCTGATGGTCAGCTTGGCACTGATACCAGTATTCTCAGTAACTTGTCTCCCCCTACATCCCACCCAAACTCTCTTCCCTGACATGTGGAATCCGGGGCCCGTTTCCTTCCTTAAATAGCTTTATGCTCTCACTTCTTGCATTAATATCGAGATTGCATTTTCCTTTTTGTTTCTTAGAGAGTGCCTTAGTAAGGTGGTAACAATCCTGGGGATGATATAGCTGAACGCAATCTCTAAACTCCAAACCAGATCCTGGAGAGTGGAAAAATTGTTTTTGAACCCTTTCCAGACAGAAGTTTTTTCTCGGGAGGTTTAATTTTCATTCTAAAAGGTTTGTATTTTAAGATATTTCAGTGGTTGGAGGCAGTGAGTCTCAAACTTCAACATGAGTAACAACCACTGGGGCGTTTGTTAAAACTGTAGCTTCCCAAATCCATCTCCAGAGATTCCAGTGTAGTAGATCTGGATGGGACCTAGGAATCTGCATTCTAAATGTGTACCCTGGAAGATTCAGTTATAGGTGGTCCAGGGGCCACATTGAAGGAGCAAGTGTACTGGCCTGTAAAAGCCAGGCTGATGAGTCATTCTGCATAGAAGTGATTTGTGGTTATCTTCTCTCTCCTGCCTCTGGCAGGACCTGTCCTGCCCTGAGCACCAGTGGGGAGCCAGGCTGGCAATGGGATGCGGGGGCTAGTTAACTCGCTGTGCTCATACCCCAGGTCATCTGAAGGGGAAACCCCACCTTCTCATAGTGTCCCTCTTTCCTTCCCCCATGTTCTCCCACAGCCCCATCTGCACAGCTACAAGGAGGCCTTCGAGGAGATGGAGGGAACCTCCCCGAGCAGCCCACCGCCCAGTGGGGGTAAGGATTCCCTGCTGAGCTCATCTTCCCTGTCTCCCCTCCACCCCCCAGCTCAACCCTGCATGTGGGAGCGCTCCAGGCCTGAGGGCTGGGGGTGAGCGTGCCCCAGGTGGGGCCAGAACACGCTGCTCCTCACCTCCATGTCCCCTTCTCTTCCACTGCTTGTGGCCATTGTCTTCTCCGTCACCCACACTCACACATCTAAGGGTACAGATGCCCCAGTTCTTAGGGTCTAGGCTGGGTGATCGTGGGGCTCTGGGCTCCCACATTACAGAGTTTTCTTACTTGTTTAGAGTCTTTTTGCCTTCCACACTCAAAAGACTCCACCATCTTAGTGTGACTGTTTGTGACTTGACTTTGACTTTGTTTCTGACCCCCATTTCTGCCTGCATCCAGATACCTCTTCCATTTCAGGCAACTATTTAGCTTCTTCTACCAAGGAGAGAGGGACCTAGGACCCTTAGGCTGACAGAGCCCCCAGCTTATTCATCCTTGGCCTTCAGGCAGAGGCATTTAGCCCTCAACCCTCCATATACTTGCTGGAGAAGCAAATCCCCAAAGGACAGAGACATGTCTACCTAAAGCCAAGACCCAAATGAGCTGAGACATGGATCAGAGTTCCTTTTTATAGGAGAAGAGACATGAAGAGAAACTGGAGGAGGTGGTTGTGGGGAAGGAAGCGATGGATTAATACCAGGCTGTGAAGGACTCAGTGTACTCATGAGAGGCCTGGGTCAGCACAAGAAAGGGAGACTGGTACTGTTCAGGGGTCAGGTTAGCTGGGCCTGGCCCAGGCTATCCACTGGCCCTGGCGAGAGGAGGGAGAACCGGAGCTGGCTGTGTATTCCCCTGGGGGCTGGGTGTCCTGTTCCGGAGAGGAATGTGGCAATGTACGTGTCCCATGTGCCAGCAGAACTTGTGTTGGCCCTCATCTTGGGCATAAGGAGGCCAAAGCTGTGACTGATCGGCGGCCCTTGGAAGCTGTGGCTCTCCCTTGAGCAGTACTGTCCAATGGAAATATAATATGAACACATTTATGATTTAAAATTCTCTAGTCACCTTAAAAAACACAACGGGAAACAGGTGAAATTAATTTTAATAACATTTTTGTTAAATCCAAACTATCATTTCAATAGGCAAATAAATCAATTAAAAATATTGAGCTATTTTACAGTCTCTTATAAAATGTAAGAAGAAACTGGTGAAACTAACTTTAATATGTTTGATTTAACCCCAGTCTAAAATATTAGCATTTCAACATATCATCAACGTAAAAAAGAGCGGGATGTTTTGTGTTCTTTTCCCCACTCAGTCTTCAAAACCTGGTGTGTGTTTCACACTTATGGCATGTCTCTGTTCACGCTGGTCACCCTGCAAGTGCTCTGCAGCCACCTGTGGCTTGTGGCTGCTGTGCTGGACAGGGTAAGCCTAGAGCGGGTTGCGCGAGAGCCAGCTCTGTAGCCCCTGTGACTGTGGGGAACCTCTCTCCCAGGGAGACATCTGCTTCCATTCACCGTTGACCCTAAGCAGCCAGGGGAAGGACACCACCCTGACTGGGGGGAAGCCCCCCAGGCTGTGCTAGAACTGGGTTTTGCCTTCTCCTCTCCCTCCACTTGGCCAGCCATGGGTGCCTAGGCAAGAAGTCAGAGGTTCCACAGATACACAGGATTAGGGAGAGAAGACAGAAGGCGGAGAAATGTGTGGAATTTTTCTCTCAGGAAGCAAAAGCCTTGACTGGCTTTAGTGTCGCCCACTCATCTGCCTCAGCAGAAGGGCCCAATTGCCCAGGAACTGGGGGAATGAGGAATTTGGGAGCTGGAGGTGAACGAGGGAGGAAACCAAGAGAGAGCTCCTGTCTGATCCTCTCGTCCCCTTCACCTCCTCATGGGTGCACCTGCCCCTCTGCTGCACCAATTGGGTAAATGTGTACACACTTGTGGGCTAGGGTTCCTCGGTGGTTATTCCGTGAACGACAGTCTCTGAGGCCAGGCGTATTCTTTCATGATTAGTTTCATTTAACCACCATTGGTTTGAGAAACCATTAATAAGTGCTTGATAAGTGAATATGCGCAAGACACCACGATGGGGAAGAGGGGGTATGGCAGTGGTAGAAACGGAATCTCTCTGTGTGTGTGCGTGTGTGTGTGTCTATGTAAAGACAGAGAGAAGATAGACACAGCGACTAGAGACACAAGGCCTAGACCTATCCCATACCTGGAGCTGTACCCATTTGTCACCTATCCAAGGACAGAATGAGGGTGAAGGGCGGGGGTGGACCACCCATCCAGACCCCTGTGATGTCTTCCTGTTCCCATGTGCATGTGGGTGTTCACCTGCACAAATGAGTTATGTATGTTGCTTGCATTGAGAGAGTATATTTTTTCATTGTTGTGAGATTCCTGTAGGTCTCACCGTCTTTGGGGGTAAGCAGCAGGGGTAGGGAGGGTCATGGAGCTTTTGCTGCTGGTGGTTCCCAGGCATCTGAGGGCCACAGCTAGTCTGTTGAGGCCACTGGGCAGGCAGAGCGTCCTTGGGGCTGTGGCCTCTGCAGGCTCCCAATGTCGCTGATAGGAGACACAGTTCATTTTTTAACTTCTTCTTAGGGCTGTGTCAGGAAACATGGCAGCTGCCACCCAGATATCTCGTGACTGGGCATAACAGCCACCCTGCAGATCAGCTCTGAATCTGGCCAGGTTCTTGGCTGATGGGAAAAAGCCAGCAGCCCTTTCTGACCTTGTGTGTTACATGATACTTGTAACCCAGATGGGCAGCCTGGGAGGAGCCCGGGCTTTGCACAGGGAGTGGGTGTTCTTGGCCACAGACTACAGGATTCTCCCTCCAGGACACTGAAGTTTGAGGGGGACAGAGCCCCACATTGAGAAGTTCTCTCCTCCTGGGCTTTGAAAGGGACATGCTTGGCCGACGGCTGCCTGAGGCCTCAGGGTTGGCGTGGCTCTGGCCTGTGATCTCCTCCTGTCTCTGTTCTTTACAGGGTGTGCCATCCTGAGGTCCAATTTTCTTTTGTTCTCCTCTGAATCCATCCAAGTGCATGTTCTAAATGGACTTTGTGTGTATGTGTTGTAGAGAAGGTCAGAAACAGCTGCAGAAGCCTGTGTATGTCTTATAAGCCATTGCAAAGTAAAGGGATCACAGAGAGAAGCCAAAGGCCTAGGGGTGGAAATGATTCTCTCAAGGTTGGGGCCAGAGCCAGGACAAGGTTGCCATTTCTTGACTCTTTCCCTTTATCCTTTAAACTGCTGAAATATGGAGAAACGCAGAGGCAGGAAAGGGCAGTGGAGCCAAAGCACTGGGCTTCAGAGTGGTTCCTTGGCACCTCCTCCCACCCCCTAGCCCTCGTTGAGCGTGCCCTCATGTGGCTGGCATGTCTGTCCTCCTGCCCACCTCTCACCTCCTATGTCTCCCCTCTTCTTCCTGGCACAGTGCGGTCCCCTCCGGGTCTGGCCAAGACGCCCCTGTCTGCTCTGGGCCTGAAACCCCACAACCCAGCGGACATCCTGTTGCACCCCACAGGCGGTGAGTTGGGAAGAGGGAAGATGGGGAGGGGGGCCAGGGAGAGGAGGGGAGAGGAGGACTCCTGTGGTCCTGGACAGAAACCTGGGCCTCAGAATCTGGTCAGCAGCCAGCTTTGTGCCCACGCTGACATCAGGCCTGGGGGCGGGCTCTCTGTGTAGGGGCTGGGGGGTGACAGGTTTCCTTGCAGCCTTCCTGACTGTTGACTTGTGGAATCTTTCCCACTCCCAGCCTCCTCTAGCTTGGGGCTTTGGATGCCTGGTCTCAGTTTCCTTGGTGGTGTTGAGCTTTCTGCTGGAAGCCACATATTCTAGGTGTTCAGGCCCTTATGTACATGCACTTGGGCGCACACACATGCACACATGGGTACACACACAGTCAGAGAAGCATGCCCCTGCTGCCCTGTGCCAGGCCTCTGCTGGCAGCCCAGCTGGCTCTGCTCTGAGCACCCACGAGGCATCACAGGCCAGACCCCTGGCATTCAGAGTGGTCTCTCGGTCTGCCTTTTCAGGCCCACAGAACCCTACCAGAGAAACCCATGACTAGCAGTGGCCATCACTGGCTGCTATCTCCTCCATCCCCTTCCCCTCAGCCCAGGTCTCCTCCCACCTATTGAAGGACCTGCCACCTGGGGCTTCTGACTCTCCCCAGCCTGTGCCCACCCCTCGTCCCCATTCCCCATGCTGGCTGCATCTTACCCAGCTGCTGAGGACAGCAGTCCAAGCTCTGAGGAAGGAAGGAGGATGGCTGCCCCACCTCCTTGGGGTCAAACAGCCTGCCCTGTTGTCACGGTAGAGGGCAGGGCCCTGGGCCTGTCTGGGAGGAGATCGTCTTCTGAGCAGATGTCACCCCAGGTTCACACCTCCGACCTTCTCCTCCCATTTCCCATCTCCTCTCCTTCGTATGGTGGAAGGAGACAAGGCTCCCTGGGCCCTTGGTGGCTGTGTAGGGCCACTGAACTCAGAAAGCTGCTCCCTGGACTCTGGTTTTAGGACTGGGTGGGAGCTCCTGGGGTCAACTTTACTTTTTTCCTTAGTTACCAGAAGATGGATCCAGCCAGGTAGGTGGGCAGTGGCATGCATTTGTGACCCATGAAGACACACAGCTGGGCACAGCCTCCTACTCAGAGTGTTGGCATGGCCAGGGACACTGAGCCACTGGGGTGTCAGCAGAAAGGGGCTGGGGGCTGCCTCTCACCAGCCAGCACACTCCTGCTTGACACTCTGCCCACAGAGCCCTGGGCACAGGGGTGGCAAGGGGCTTAGGCTCCTGAGAGCCAGGGTCTCAACTGTGCCTTGGAGCCCTGGGGTCCTGTGCATGGTGGATCTCGGCCTTCCCCTTGGAGCCCTTCTATGGAAAGCACAAATCAGCCCTGGCCTCACCCCAGCTTTCCCACCTCTCTTTTCTCTGCAGATTCTCTTTCTCAAGAAATCATCCCTGTTAATCTGTCTCTCTTTTTCCTTTTTTGCTCTTCTTCATCTTCACTACCTGCCCTTCTTTCCTGCCTCTCCTTCCTCCCACCTCTCTTCTTGTCTTCCCTCAGAGGAAGATAAAGGGGAGGGCGTGGTCAGGCTCCCAGAAGGTAAGTGGCATTTGCTGTGGCTTCCTGTTCTCTGGGTCTGGAAATGGCTTTTCATGCAGGGCTTGAAGAGGCTGGCTGGAGGCAGCTTTCCTCACTGGGACTCAGGTGACCGGGCACATGGCCTTCTGTCCCCACGCCCTGGTGAGATACCACCCTGGGCACCTCCTCAGTCCTGATGGGGAGCTTGTAGCTTGATTTTCTACCCACTAAGAGGGGCACAGCCAGTGTCTGGGGGCTCCTGCAGTGCCACCCTGTTGACCAAAATGCTCCTCTCCCATCGCCATTTGTGCCAGCCTGCCTGGCGTGCAGCCGTGTACAGAGGTGGACAGGGCGGGACTCAGATCCCCTTTCCTGGGGTGTGCTCCACAGGCATTTCTTGGAGCAGAGATTCCTCACCTCGGCACCACTGACATTTTAGACCGAATGACTATTTTTTTGGTTTTTTTTTGGGGACGGAGTTTTGCTCTTATTGTCTGAGCTGGAGTGCAGTGGTGCAACCTCAGCTCACTGCAACCTCTGTCTCCTGGGTTCAAGTGATTCTCCTGCCTCAGCCCCCTGAATAGCTGGGATTACATGTGTGTGCTGCCACACTCAGCAATTTTTTTTTTTTTTTTTTGGTATTTTTAGTAGAGACGGGGTTTCATCATGTTGGCCAAGCTGGCTTCGAACTCCTGACCTCAGGTGACCCACTCACCTTGGCCTCCCATAGGGCTGGGATAATAGGCGTGAGCCACTGTGCCCGGCCCTGAATGACTCTTTGTTGTGGGTGCTGCCCTGGCTTCTACGTGCTCGATGCCGGTACCTCTCACTCAGTCATGACAATAGAAAATGTCTCCAACATTGCCAGTGTCCCCTGGAGGAATAATTCTCCTGGCTCAGAGCCCCCATCTTAGAGCCACGATTTGCCCTCTGGAAGCCCTGCCTAGTTTCCAATCAACACAGAAAGTACCAAGTCTGTCTTTCTCCGATCTCAGACAACTTTAAGTATTTCAGGAAATCGATGGACTCACCGTGTATACAATAATGCATTGGGATTCCCATGTACATAATCCTGAGAAACAGTTTCAAGGAATTGGCCTACATGTGGGTCCCAGATGAACCCCTGATTTAGATGAGCCCTGCACTGGGCACCAGGGAGGCAGAGAAAGGGCATAATTAGGTGGAGGCCTTGGACTCACTAGGAGCAGAACTTGAGTGAGGACTCAAAGCAGCAGATGAAACAAAGTGGGTGCCAGCCTGGGTGGGAGGCCAGCATATAGTTCTGGGTGCTGGCATCCCCACCTCTACCAGGAAGATAGGGAAAGTGGGTGCTGTGATCTCTTCCAATTCTGACAAGTTAGGTGTTCTGACTTCCCAGCTGAGCCCTGGGTTGGCTGGTTTTCTCAGGGCTATTTCCCACTTTTCTTTGTACACACCACCTTGCTTTTCTACCCCCTAAGCGGGGATGGCCTGTGCCCCTCTAAATCTTCTGTCACCCAGGTAGGATGGTTGGAGTTTCCCAGAATGCATTGCTCTCTCCTAACCAGCCAGAGATTGGGCTACAGCATCAGGCTGCTTGGGGACTGCAGAACAGGGCAACTCCCAGGGACAGATCCAGAACAGGTGGGCCACAGCATGCCTCCCTCTGCTGGGAACAGCTCCTCCTCACTCCCTTGCAGCCTCATGCCTGGGTAAAGGGCTTTCTCCCAAGCTGGAGGCTGACAGCTGGTCCTGGCAGGGCAGGACTGGGGAGAGAGAGAGTCTGGAATTAGCTGGAGCTCAGAGCCAATGTTTCTGTGCTTCAGATGCCAGACCATGCAATGGGCTCTCAACTCTCCTTGCAGTTGTTTGACTTAAACAGACCTGTGGTATCTCAAACACTCTCCAGTGGGAAGGGCCACGGGGTGGATTATCTGGCAAGCTGGCAGGCCCTGGGGATTGTGTCTCTCACTTTGGGGTGACTTCAGGGGTGTGGGCATCGACAGAACTGAACTCTCTGCCAACTGCACCTCCTGAATGATTCATCTTCCAGGGCCGCAAGTGCTCTGGCCATAGCCAGAGTTTGGAGGAGAAGGTTATTAGGGGTTAACTTAGCCACACCCATTGTTGTCACAGATATGCAGCTGACATCAGCATTGTGGGTGGTTTTGGGGGATCTGCCCAAGGTCACAGTTAGGGGGTAACAGAGCCAGACTGGAGTTATTGGTCTCCTATCTCTTCCTCAAGTGGCCATTTCAAAGCCCTTTTCCTGCCTCCAGGCACCGTGCCCTGGGATTCCAGTGTGGGAGTTGGAATTGCTGCCCGTGGCCTGGGGAGTGGAGCAGGGAAGGGGCAGGCAGTGAAGCTGTGGACAGCCGGTTCCTTATTTTCTGACTCATGTGCCACCGCCCGGGTCAACCTAAAGCCCATTCTTTGCTGACCCTCTGAGGCTCTGCTTGATAACCCTGCTGATACTTGGGAAATTCAGAAAAAAATGCCTGTGAGGCAAAAATGGCCAGCGGCAGGATTATTCAACTGGGGGAAAAGAAGAATTTGAGGGATGTCTGCTATGTCCCGGGTGCTGTGTGAAACACTTTACATTCATTCATTCTTTCATTCATTGCTTCATTTATTCATAATACTTTGTGCGCCAACTGTGTGCCAGGCTTTGGAAATATAAGGATGCGTAAGGCAGCTGGTGAGGAGAGTGATGCCAACAGACACTTCAATATTAGGCAAAAGTGCTGAGCGAGGGTAGGAATAGGATGTCATGGAAGCTTGGAGGAGGGGGCGTGTGGCCCAGTCTAAAAGGTTTGGCATTCTCACTTTTGAGCTTCTGGCTCTGGGACCTGAGGGTTTCCGTATTGCCTTCTTTCTCCCTCACCTACATGTCTTGATTTTACTTAGGATGGGTGTGCCCCTTCTCTCCAAGCAAAGAGCCTCTTTGGGGAGACAGAAAATATACTTCAGGGTGTGGACCAAGAGCTGACAGTGCCCAGCTGGAGGAGGCCAAGTCACCTCGTGCTGCAGCTGCTCTCTGCCGCCGGCAGCCACTTGGCAGGGTTTGGGTCCCTGGAATGTTCTACATGAAGCACCCTCCCTGTCCCCACCTCTCCCGCCCTGCCCAACTCCCTGTAGCCTCTGCTGCAGCTGCTCCAGGATTGGAGGAAAAGGGGAAAACAGCAGGAGAGGTGGTGCAAGTGAGGAGTGGAGGGAGGCTAGGAGCAGGTGGGCAGCAGTGGGGCTGGTTCTGAACACTGGGCCTGGGATTGGCAAGAAAGAATTAGGAGGAACTTTCCTGCTTCTTCTCACCTGATCCTGGCTGGGCAGAGGGGTATCCTCATTCCCACTTTGCAGGTGAGGAAACTTGAGTCCCAGAAAGTCTCTAGTAAGTGCACGGGTGGTGGATGAGAGGAGAGCTTGCAGGTAGAAGTATATTGTCCTGCAGTGGGAGAGAGAGAAAGAGACAGGGAATAGACAGAAAAAGGAAGGATTTTCAGTATAGAAATCTAAGTGTGGAAACTGAGGAAAACTGATGGTTAGCCCTGAAGATTGTTTTTAAACAGTACTGGAGATGAGCTCAGGAAATCAAGTAACTTCCCAAGGGCCCTCCTGCTCTGAGTTCATGAGGAGTAGAAATTGCATGGAAGGGTTTCGTACTTCTCTACCCCATGATCTGGGACTGGAGGAGCAGGTTGGGTTGGCAGTCGGAGGGCAGACCAGCTGACCAAGGAAGAGGATGCTCTGGGAAGGAGAAAGGCAGGTGGGGGCTCAGTGAGGGCAGGGCCAGGTGGGACTGGGTCTCAGTGACCTGGGCTAGGTTGGCCACCCAATGCACAAGGGCTGTTTCTGACACTGTGGTGGGAGTGGATGCTGCTGCTTCTCCCTGTACCACCTTTCCTGTTCCCCAAGTTCAGACTCCTAGTCTCTTGAGAACTCCTCTGGCGTTCTGCAGTTTAGGAGCTGAAAGGGCCAATGGGACTGTTGCCTTAAGAAGTTGGCCATCCTACTGAGCCATCTCAGGGTTTCTGATATACTGTCCCATGGGCCCTCCATGCAATCTTACCCTCAGACTCCAAGGCTGCGGTTCAGGTGCCACATTTAGGCCGGAAGCAGTTAGTAGACACCCAGCCTTGTGTAATGGCAAGTAAGCCATGGGTTCCAGGCTTGGCTGTGCCCTGACTATAGGACAGGGTGGTGTGGCCCACTTTATCTCAGTTTTACTGTTGCTAGAATGGGCACCTGTACTTCTTTAAAGGGGTGGGGTGTCGGGCAATGTGAATTGCTTACCCAATATGTGGGTTAGGAGCCTGGTGGGAAACTGTGATGGTTCATTCCAATGGAGCAACCTAGGACAGCTGATGGACCCTTAAAAGGCCTGGGCAGACCAATGAGGGATGGGAAAGCACCCAGAGTTCTCCCTACCAGGAGCAAGGAGCCATCCTCCCAGGCCTTAAGGAACTAGGAAGGAGCTGTAGGGCAGGGCTGCTGACCGGAGTGTGGCTAGAGGGAGGTGGGTAGGGGATGTAGCCACCGGCACCTTGCCCTTCTCTCTCCCTCCCTCTCATCCACTACCAGACCCTCTGAAGGCCAAACCTGTCCTGAGCCAGAGAGTAAGGGGGTTTGGTAAATAAAAGCCAGCCCAGTGATGCAGATCAGGGTAGAGAGTAGATCAGGAGTGATGTCAGTGGATTGGAGAACACAGACCTTCACAGTGTCATTCATGTAGGTTTCAACTTGAACTTCAGGGAGTGAGGAAAATGAATGTGTGCCTCTGGGGTCTTACTGTGTGTCTCTGGATGGGGCTGGAAGGTAAGGATCATGCTTCTGTGACTTTGTGGGGCACATGCAGATCAAGGTCTGCTGTATACCAGGTGCTGTGGGAGGACTCAGCACACAGATCAGCTAGGCAGGCTCTGGGAGCCCACGGACAGCCAAAGAGTGGCTTTCTCTCCCTGGGTGGGAGAGAAGGGGTGCTGAGAACCGTGGGGACCCGAGTGAAGCCATGATGAATGCCTGGAAGGGTCCGGGAAGAGTTTTCAGAGAGTGACCTAGGGCGGCAAGGGACTGGAGGGGAGAGTGGACTCTGGTTCACTCTTGGGTGTCATTTGCATGGCTGTGGATGAGGCTCCCTCTGAGGGTCCCTTCTCCCAAGCTGGGTTACCAGTTTCCCAAGACTAAAAACACATGCTGAAACTACTGGCTCCCTGACTTGCAGAGGGTTGCATTTCCAGTGGGTAAGGGCAGATCGGGGCTAGACTGCCTGGGTTCCTAGGCCGACTGCCCCTTGCTAGCTGTGACCTGGGAAAGGTACTTACATCCGCTCAGTCCTACTTTTCCTGTATAATTGTTTGCTCTTTTGATCATTAGGAATAGCCCCATGGAGTTGGCTTTTCTCTGGCTGATGGGCTGGAGTGCTGCATAGAGCCAGCTCTGGGTGTCCTGTGAGCCTATGGGCTCTGTCTGGGCCACCCAGAGCCAGCTTGTGAGTCCGGAGACTCTGGTGCTAGTGTTCACTGCCACTAAGCATCCATGTGTCCTGGGCACATGGCTCCACCTCTCTGGGCTGAGAAGACAGGTTAGATCAGGGGTCAGCACACTGTGGCAGCTGGTCAGATCCCGCCCACTGACTATTTTGGTAAAGAAAGTTTGATTGCAACCCAGCCACGCCCATTCACTGTCCTATTGTCTATGTAAGCTTTCACACCACCACAGCAGAGGTGTGTAGTTGCAACAGTAGCAGCCTGACCCACCAGCTTAAGATATTTACTATTGAGTCTTTACAAAAACATGTGCTGGCCCTGGTCAGGGGATCTCCGCATTGTCTTCTGGTTCCAGCAGAAGACAATGGATGGATCATACTTGGGTGGTGCAGAATCCATGCCTCTGGTGTGAATTTGGCCTGGGCTTTCTGTGAGGTGGGTGGGCGGCCTGGGCTGGTTGAGGAAGGTTTTCAAGGAGGTCTTGCTGGTACTGCCTGCATGGATTCCAGCTTTGGGTGCCTAGGTGGCTGGTTCTACATCACCCTGTGCCCGGTACCTGGAATAGACCGCCTGTTCCCGGCTCTTTGCAGACAAACTGCCTCAGCCTTGTTCACTGTCATTGCTGTCGGGTGGAGGGAGCTCTGTGTGGGGACAAAAGATAGGCGGGCAGGCTATGGCTAGAGCTGTTTGCAGACCCCGTTACAGCCTCCGGAACCTGCTCTGTAAAGGGTCCTGTGCTGAGCGAGCGACCATTCTCTTCCGGTGTCCAGAGAGGCCTCTGGCCTGGGTATAGGATGTCAGACCTCAGGGCCATCCCAGGAGCCACTCCCTGGAGGCTGTGCCCCTATGCAGCAAGTGCTGGAAACACCCTGCTAGCACCCTGGTTTTCCCTGGGCTTAAGGGAGGAAGTTTGCATGTCAGCCAGCTGGACCCTGGGCCTGTCACCCATGACGGACCTGGAGGAGGGGGCATTTCTCCAGCTCTGAGCATCACAGTCTTGGCCAGCAGGGGCTGCAGGGGCCCGGCCTCCTGAGGGCTGCACAGACTCTGGTTCTTCAGTTTCTCATGCTGATTTCAGTGGATTCCTTAGTGGTGGGCAGTATGGCTCTGTACTCAGGCCAGTTCCTCCTGGGTAAGAAAGGGACAGGGCTGGGTTTGGAGGTGGTGGGAATGACATCCCTCCCTGATCGTGGCCTGGGTACCTTGGTAAACAAGAGCATTCTGCTGGTTCTTCCTGTTTCAAGTGGAGTGTGTTTAGAGGCTGGCCTCAGAGGCCGTGGAGGAGTCGGGCAGGTGCTGGACCAGGAGGTGAGTGGGGCTGTCTGTGACCTTGTCATTTTCCTTGCTGGGCCTCAGCATCTTCATCTGTAAAATGGTCTTTCCTAGCACTTGTCCCCCACCCCCTCCTCTTAGGCTGTTTGGAACACCAGGTATATTGAGATCCTCTGTAAACTGCTGGGTGCTACAGGAATGCCAGAGGTGGGCGATGGAATGCTGAGTTCCGCCTGGGAATGGGATTCCCTGACGCCAGTCTCTGGAGGAATGCTGAGTGTGTCAGGCAGAGAGGGGTGGGTGTGTCTTGGCATCAAAGGGGCTGGTGAGTCCACAGCAGCCCTGCAGGGCATGACTCACAAGTGCAGGCCTGCTGCTAGATGGCCAAGGCTGTTTCTGGATTCTGGGCATGGGATGGAGCTCACATGAACTCTGGCGCTGTCTTGGGATATAGGCAAGGTGGGGATGGACCTCTGGGCCTTCTGTAGGGCCCCAGACTCTAGTGGCACCAGGAGAACCTAGAAGGGCCTGAATGCTGAGTAACAAGATCATCAAAGAAAGAGAGCAGCCAAAGGGGGTTGCCAGCTATGGACAGACTCCTAGTCCTTGGAGGGAAGAGTCCCTGATGGCCATGTTCTGAGGTGGGGCCTGGGGTCCATTTCAGAGTCCTCTCTTCTGAGCAAGGCCCTGGTGAAAGATAGCTGCAGGGCAGGTGGGTCAGGGCAGGCAGGAGCCCTTGGTCTCTTTTGGGGGATATTCATGTGTTCCCAGGCTGGGGTCCGGGAGGCTGGGTTTCATCCAAGGCAGGTTGGGTGGGACCTGCACCGCACCCCTGTGGATCTGTGCTCAGTCTCTGTCCCCTTGTCCCTTCCAGAGCCCCGGAGCTATGTCGAATCTGTGGCGCGGACGGCCGTTGCTGGGCCCCGAGCTCAGGACTCTGAGCCTAAGAGCTTTAGCACCCCAGCCACCCAGGCCTATGGCCATGAGACACCCCTGAGGAATGGGACCCTGGGTGGCTCCTTTGTCTCCCCCAGCCCCCTCTCCACCAGCAGCCCCATCCTCAGTGCTGACAGGTAAGCTGGGAAGGGGCAGCGGGTGGGGGATGAGAATCCAGGCCTGGGACTAGGATGCTATGGGTGAGGCCTCCTGGATCTGTTACCTGTGGCGTGGACAGGCAGAAATCACACCCAGATGGTGGCATCTTGCAAACCACTTCATCAAGGTGCATTGAGGGCACATGTCCTGAGTGCTGAATCCTGTGGGGACCCCAAGGCAGTTACCTGTAATTCCCAGGCGGCATTCAATTCCGCCCATCCAAAACTGTACCGGAAGGAGTGAGGGGTACCACGGTTAATGTGGCAAAGTCCTTCCCCCAGTTGAAAATCTACCAACAGTAAATGACCTATGCAGTGGGCTCATCCTAGGTACCAGGCTCTTTGCTAAGTGCTTTATACAGTTATTTAATCCTTGCAGCAATCATAGGAGGTGAGCACTGTTATTGCTCCCACTTTTCAGAAGAGGAAATGGAGGCATAAAGGTGCAGTAGCTTGCTCGAGGTCCCACAGCTGAGCAGTGGCAGAAATCGGATTCAGGAGGAAGCATGTGGTCCCAGAGCCCATGTCTGTATCCTTCACCCCAGACCTGCGTCAAGGTGCCATCCCGCACAGGATGAGAGTCAGATGGGCCCGAAGCCCACACGAGTGAAAGGCTTGGAGCGCAGAACAAGGGGCCATTCTTTCTGGCTAGGGGCGCAGGGAGGATTTCTGAGGGCTGGAGGCATTTGTGGAGGGTCCAGAGGAGCTAGCAGGATGTTGAAAGATGAAGAAGGAGAGAGAGGGCATTCCAGAAAGACAGCTCAGCAGGGACAGAGGACTGGGCTGTGGCTGTGTTGGGAGTGTGGGGCTGAGGGCTTGTGGCCTGCTATTAGGAAGCTGCAATGGATGGATGGCTGGCATCCATATGTCTGAGTGCATCATACAGAGATGAAAGCCCAGAAGTGGGCAGAGTGGGTGGACAGTCCCTGCTTCCCTGCTCACAGGCTCAGTGGAGGGGTGCAGCAAGCAGCTGCTGGACTGGGGTAGTGGGGGTGAAGGTGGAGGGGACACAGAGATGGGATGACAGCATAGGAAGGGAGCCAGGCAAAGGAGTAAGACCCAGCTAGCCTACGTAGCCCCGAGGAAGGGAGACTGCCTGACCATCTCTTCTGTGCCGTGCCCACTGCTCTCCCTAGTCTGGGATGACATAGGGCCTGCAAATTCCCCTGGCATCTCCCCAGGCCTGGTGGGGCCAGGTTGCGGCACAGCCTATATTGGCTCAGTGCTAAGCCTCCCCTGCAAGTCGGGGTACCATGGGAGGACTGGGGGAGCAGATGAGCAGAGGCAGCTGTCTTGTGGATTCTAAGCAAAGCAGGCCCCCTCCCCAGCCTGTCAGCAGGGCAGTAGGCTGCATCGCTAGGAGGCCTGACTCTGGCAGAGGGTTGCATTTCCCATGTTAAAGGAAAGGGGATGTTCCTAAGTTGCCCCAGCCACCCATTGTTGATGCTCAGTGAGCTCTGGCATTAGGAAGTTGTTCACTGTTTCTCACTCAAATCCCTCCTGCTGAGGCGTTGGCCCCTTCCAGGAAGCTGGCCTTTCTCCTCCGAGATCAACCTTCCAGAACTCCATTTTACTGTCTCCTTCTCCCGCCCTGCTCAGCCTGGCTCTGGCTCCCATTCTTCAGAATCCAGTTTATTCTGGATTATGCCAGGTGGTGGCCCTCCGCTCTGGCTCCTTCTGGGATGCAAGGTAGACTTTGTCCTAGCCTGGCCCCTGACCTTCTCCTTGCCCTTGGCTCTTGCCTGACCCAAGAGCATACCCCCAAACAAAAGCTCATGTCATCAAGTGAACCTGAGCTTATCCAACCTGGCCCAGCGGGGGCCGGCCTGCCGCAACGTCCTTCCAGCCCGCAGCTCCAGGTTTTGGCCCATTAGCTAAGTAAGAACCCTCCCCATGGGGGCTCCTGGTGCACAGCCTGACTGCTACCTCCCTACAGCTACTGGTTTATGCAAGGTCCCTGTCAACCTTTTTTTCTCTTGCTATAGATGGATAGAAGTTTGGATCTAGAAGGAGTCAGGGTCACCTAATCCAACCCCCTCATGTTCCACATGGAAAAACTTTAACAAGCAAAATCTGGATTTTCCAACTCACTGACCATCCATCACATTGTACTGCTGTGCTCTCATAGGACACTCCATGTGGACCCGGACTTGTTTTACAAGGGAAGCTTTGATTGTGGCAATTACCCCAGGGATGGTCCTCTGAACTGAATTTTTTCAGAGTCAGAATTGGGAGTGACCTCTGAGCTCATTTCATCTAATTTCCCAATGCAGGAAATTCCCTCTACAACATTCAGGCCCATAGGTCTGTCAGCTTCTGCTTAAACGCTCCTAATGACAGGAGCCTCATTACCATGCAAGGCAGCTTTCTCCATTGCTGGCCACATCCACAGTGGCTGGAGAACAGACCTTACAATGAACTGAAATCCCCTGATGTGAAGATTCCTTGTCTTTGCTTTTGTGGAGACACCCAGGAGTGAAAGCCCGATTCTAGCACCCTCAGTCAATGTTCAAGGATGATATCATCACATTTGAGGAAACTGAGTCAAGGCAGGGCTACCCCTGGGAGCAACAGGAGCCAGGAAACTCCAGTGGGAGTTTCTGGTTTTTGGTTTTTCTTTTTTGAGACAGAGTCTCGCTCTGTTGCCCAGGCTGAAGTACAGTGGTGCGATCTCAGCTCACTGCAATCTCTGCCTTCCGGGATCAAGCGATTCTCCTGCCTCAGCCTCCCAAGTAGCTGGGATTACAGGTGTGTGCCACCATGCCCGGCTAATTTTTGTATTTTTAGCAGAGACAGGATTTCACCATGTTGGTCAGGCTGGTTTTGAACTCCTGACCTCAGGTGATCCTCCTGTCTTGGCCTCCCAAAGATTACAGGCATGAGCCACCGTGCCCGGCCTCCAGTGGGAATTTCTGTGATGCTGGAGGCTACCACATGACAGCCACCTCCAGTTTCCACAGGAGAGGTCTCTTCACTTTGACGTGGCTCAAGAATGAGCATGGTGCAGTAGGGAAGCGGTAGTAGGCTTTGGAATCAGACACAGATAAGTTGAAACCCTGGTCTTTGATAGGCAGTGTGGTCTGAAGCCTGCTGCCTAACCTCCCTGAGCCTCAGTTTCTTCTGATGTTTCTGTAAGGTAACGTATAGAGCCCTGACGTCCCGCCGTACTGCTGGTGGAGCCATTCTCCCTGTTGTTTGTGGTTGGAGGGAGGGCTGAGAGCCTGCTGTAAATCCACCCTTCATTCAGTACTGTCCACTGGTATCTCAACCTGCCATCTCTCTACAGTACTTCCGTGGGGAGTTTCCCATCAGGAGAGGGCAGCGACCAGGGTCCCTGGACACCCACCCAGCCTTTATTGGAGTCTGGCTTCCACTCCGGCAGCCTGGGACAGCCCAGTCCGTCCGCCCAGAGAAACTACCAGAGATCTTCTCCCCTCCCGACCGTGGGCAGCAGCTACAGCAGCCCCGACTACTCACTGCAGCAATTCAGCTCCTCTCCGGAAAGCCAGGCCCCAGCTCAGTTCAGCGTGGCTGGTGTCCACACAGTGCCTGGGAGCCCTCAGGCACGCCACAGAACAGTGGGCACCAACACTCCCCCCAGTCCTGGCTTTGGCCGCCGGGCCATCAACCCCAGCATGGCTGCCCCCAGCAGTCCCAGTTTGAGCCATCGCCAGGTGATGGGTCCACCAGGCACTGGCTTCCAAGGTAGCACGGTCTCCAGCCCCCAGAGCAGTGCCGCGACCACCCCGGGGAGCCCCAGCCTGGGTCGGCACCCAGCTGGAGCCCACCAGGTTTCTGGCCTCCACAACAATGTGGCCACCACCCCAGGGAGTCCCAGCCTGGGCCGACACCCTGGGGCTCACCAAGGCAATCTGGCCTCTGGTCTCCATGGCAATGCGATAGCCAGCCCTGGAAGCCCCAGCCTGGGCCGGCACCTGGGAGGGTCTGGATCTGTGGTTCCCGGCAGCCCCTGCTTGGACCGGCATGTGGCCTATGGTGGCTACTCCATCCCTGAGGACCGCAGACCCACACTGTCCCGGCAGAGCAGTGCCTCTGGCTACCAGGCTCCTTCCACACCCTCCTTCCCTGTCTCCCCTGCCTACTACCCTGGCCTGAGCAGCCCCACCACCTCCCCCTCGCCGGACTCAGCAGTCTTCCGGCAAGGGAGCCCAACGCCAGCCTTGCCAGAGAAGCGAAGGATGTCGGTGGGAGACCGGGCGGGCAGCCTCCCTAACTATGCCACCATCAACGGGAAGGTGTCTTCGCCTGTCGCCAGCGGCATGTCCAGTCCCAGCGGGGGCAGCACTGTCTCCTTCTCCCACACTCTGCCTGACTTCTCCAAGTACTCCATGCCAGGTGGGCCTCTCCTCCTTCCATTTCCACCCTCCCGCTGATGAAGTAAGTACAAGGGTGAAGATATCTACCCCAGTCTCTGTTCTGACATTTCCTTGGCAGATGACCTGGGGTGAATCACTGACTTCTGGGACTTAGTTTCTTTATCTGTGTAAGGAGAGTTGGAGGTGTCTCACAGTAAGTGTGCTGTGGTCGTGGATGCTGAGATGAGGATGCACATACAGATGAGGATGATAAAAATAATAATGATGAATAGCATTACTGCTATGATTATCATCACCCTCATAGCCATTACCACTTGTTGAGCACATACTGTGTGCCAGGCTCTGAGCTAAGTAGTATCTCATTTAAGCTTCTTGGCCACTTGGTCAAGTAGGTATTAATATTATTAACCCCAGTTTACAAAGTGAGGCTTAGAGGCTCTGTCACTTGTCTAGTATCATTCAGTCAAGAAATGGCAGAGCCAGGTTTCCAATCCAGGCCACGCCACCCCAAAACAAATGCTCTCCAAGCATCACTGGAGTTGTCTTTATCATGTGTCCATATCTTGGGGCTCATTGTTATTTAGCATGACCTTGAAAACCTGCCTTCCAAACCTGGAACCCCATACCTTTGTCAGCCCCATGGTGCCACATCGCTCTTAATAGACCCAGCTCTACTGAAGCTCATGCAGGTTCGTGCAGTGAATTCTTTGCCCATCGCCAGAACTTGCCACCTTTGCCTCCACTTAGAGGGCTCATTGTCTAAACACAAAGGCCAAGCTCAAACTTGACTGTGTGTGCAGTGGCCCTGGGGCCTTGAAATTTGAGGTAGATTTAGAATGTTTTGGGCCCCAGCTGTCCAGATTCTCCCTGTATCACTCTCAGGCCCTGCCCTGAGCCTGCCAAGCCAGGACACCTAGAATGACCCTGCACCCCCTGTTTCCTGCCGCCCACCAGGGACATCTGGTTCCCAGCCCCTCTCCTTGAAGGATGCAAAACTTCTAGTAGCTGGGACGCTTCCTGTTTCCCACCATCTTCCCTGCTTAAAATAGCCTTTGGAGTCAACACAGGAAGGCACGTGGGACTGCAGCCACCTCTGACAGCTCATTAAACAGGCCACTGCAGCAGTGGGGCCCGGGGCTTCGGACAGAGAACAGCAGCCTGCAGCAGTTGCACGGCCCAGCTGCCTAACCCAGGGACCTTCAGCACACAGCTGCCGGGAAAGGGAGCTGACCTCTCCCCTCACACTCGCCCAGAGACAGATCCCAGAAGCATAAGGGAGTGTCAATCATAGGTTGAAATTGACTAAGCACTAGAGACACAACCTGTGTCTCCGGATCTGCTCTCTTACTTGATAGAATCTTTAGTGCCGGCTTCTGTCTCTGAAGGCAGGAGAGGAAAAATGTGGAATCCTCATCTTTTCCTATTCCTCCCCTCACAATTTATTTTGTTTTCTTTGATGCCAAAAGCTGAAGGAAGAGGTTGAGAGTGAGGGCCGCACTTCCTGATGCTTAGACAGGAAGATACGGTTTAGCTGGTGCTAAACTGGTTGCTGGGGCCTCTTCCCAAGGTCACCATCTATGTGACTTGGGAAAGTCACTTCTCATCTCTGAATTTCTCCTTATCTGTAAAATTAGGCAGTTGGATTCTGTCCTGTCTCAGCTCCCTCCAGAATCTAATGTTCTATGACGAGTTCCCAAGGTCTGCAAAGAGTCTGGGCATGGGTGTGTGGGGGGGTGCTGCCTGCCTGAGGAGTGGGGTGCCTGACATGCATAGATGGCCTCTAGATTCTAGGCCCGCCACCAGCTGTTTGATCAAAAGGGAAGTGATTGTTTGACCTGTGTGATGCAGAACACAGGCTTTCCCTGTGGGAAGTGAGGAGGGGCCTGGGGAAAAGGGGGCAGAAATGGCTCTTCCTGTCCTCATCTTCATGGTGCGTATGCTGAAGTTGAGAAACTGAGCCTATGGAGAAAGGTTCTAGAAGCAAGTGTTTTAGCCCATGGGAGAGAAACTGTGGGAAGGGTTTAGTCAGTCTTCTAGGGAAAGTGGGACACAGGGTAGAGGAAGGTTTTGGTAGGCTCTGTGAGAATGCAGTGCCAGCCCGCCCCCAGGAGGCAGCTCAGCCACCCAGATGGCCGGCAGGGGGTGGGGATGGATGAGGAGGTCAAAGGTTCCTTCCACTGTGCTCTCATGGTGTTCGAGGACAGCAGCTTTTGATGTCAGTTTCCTGGGGCTGCCATAACAAAGGACCGTGAGCTTCGTGGCTTAAAAATGACAGAAATGTGTTCTCTCACAGTTCTGGAGGCTAGAAGTCCACAATCAAGGTGTTGGCGAGGTCGGCTCCTTCCTGAGGCTCTGGGGAGAATCTTTCCCAGGCCTCTCTCCCAGTTTCTTGTGTCTCCTGGCATCGTTGGTGTCCCTTGGCTTGTAGACACGTCACCCCAGTCTCTGCCTGCTCCTTCCATGGTGCTCTCCCCCACGTGTCTCTCTGTCTCCTCTCCTTGTAAGGACACCAGGCATGCAGGCATTCTGGATTAAGGCCCACCCTAATCCTGCATGATCTCATCTTAATTTATCTACATCTGTAAAGACCCTAATTCTAAATAAGGTCAAATTCACAGGCATTAGGGGTCAGGACTTTGATGTATATTTTGGGCGAACACAATGTAGCCGGTAACACTTTGTATTCTTTTCCTGCTTTAGACAACAGCCCGGAGACACGGGCTAAAGTGAAGTTTGTCCAGGACACTTCTAAATATTGGTACAAACCTGAGATCTCCAGGGAGCAGGGTGAGTACGGGGCTCTGTGTCCATCAGAGGTCGTAGCTGGCTGAGGCCTGCTGTGTCTTCCTGGGGCTAGGAACAGAGGCAAATTCACTCCTCTTTGTAGTAGGGGATCATCACAGAGGGGGCTGGGGTTGAAGTTGGACAATAGAAAGCACTTCCCCCAGTGAAGTGTGGGACCGAAGAAGCAGTGGATGTAGACACCTCTTGGGAGGATTCTTAAGGTCTGCCCAGATAATGTGAAACCTTTGCTTTCTGTCTGCCTGATGTGGGAGGTTTTTGCATTTTAGAGAGAGAGAATAAAGTTAGGAATGTGAGAATGATTCTCAGGGGAAGCGTGTGTGGGTGTGGGACAGGGTCAGCAGCGACAGCCCCTGGGTCAAATCTGGATGCTGCCTGCTTTTGTAAATGAAGCTTTGTTGGGACACATCCACACCTGCTGGCTTTCATCCTGTCTGTGCTGCCGTCCTGCTGCAGTGGCAGAGTGGAGTGGCTGCAGCAGAGGCTGCGTGTCCTGCAAAGCCTGAAATATTTACTCTCTGCCCATTTACAGAGTGTGCTTGCCAGCCGGGTATCGTGGCGCACACCTGTAATCCCTGCACTTCGGAAGGCCAAGGCAGGGGGATCACTTGGGGCCAGGAGTTCAAGACCAGCCAGGGCAACATAGTGAGATCCTGAATCTACAAAAAAACAAAAAGAAAATAACTATTCAGGCCTAATGGTGCATGCTGAACAGTGGCCTGTGGTCCCAGCTACTCAAGAAGCTGAGGTGGGAGGATTACTCGAGCCTGGGAGGTCAAAGCTGCAGTGAGCCATGATTGTGCTATTGCATGCCAGCTTGAGTGACAGAGTAAGGCCCGGTCTCACAAAAACAAACCAAAAAACCCAACAGAATGAGTTTGCCAACCTGAGTACAGGAAGACCCTTAAGTATAGTTAAGTTCTAACTTTAAAGAATGTTATCTCACCTAAGAAAGAATGAAGGTTGATAGGCCCAATGCAACTTAAGTAAAACTAATGCCACCAATGTCTTGCTTCCTCCTCTCTCCTCGTCCCTTCCCCATGCAGCCATAGCGCTCCTCAAGGACCAGGAGCCAGGGGCCTTCATCATCCGCGACAGTCACTCCTTCCGAGGCGCCTATGGGCTGGCCATGAAGGTGTCTTCGCCGCCTCCAACCATCATGCAGCAGAATAAAAAAGGTAACCTCATCTCCCAGAATGGGGCCCAGGACCAGGTGACCTTTATAGTCACTAAAAGGGACCCAGGATGTTGCGCAGGACCCTAAATCCCATCAGACTCTTCAGAAGAGCAAGTCTTGGGCTTGGTGATGGTTGGGCCAGACATGGGAAAGCAGGACGTTTGGGCACCTGCCATGTGCTTCCCGGGGGGGCGGGAGAGCAGCAGTGGGCTCTGCAGTCCGTGGGCTCCAGCCAGGTTCTCTCTTCGGCCATTTCTCGCATCCTGGCCCCACACGCTGCAGAGGTTTCAGAGCAGTCTCGGGAGGTGGTGGGAGGAAGCCATGGGAAGGGACCGAGCCTCATTTCTTTCTCTTTGTCCCAGGAGACATGACCCATGAGCTGGTCAGGCATTTTCTGATAGAGACCGGCCCCAGAGGAGTCAAGCTCAAGGGCTGCCCCAACGAGCCAAATTTCGGTGAGCTGTCCCCCTGCCCCCGTCTCTACAGTCTGTCCTGAGTCTTGGCCCTGTCCTGGGTTCCTCCAGGGGTCTGATCCCAAGCTCTTTCTCACAGGCTCTGCCAGTTACCCTTGTCATAAATTCAGCAGAGAAAAAGAATGGGGGCTTCTCTCCCTCTGCAGCGTGGCTCCAAACTCTGCCAAACTGTTCTGTATTTGTCCTACCCAGCTGGGACTCTCGCTTTCATTGTAACTGGAGTATCAATGCGAACATCCGCTGCCTTAATTGACCACCTACCATGTGAATGTCACTGCCTAAGCACCTTATATCACATCTGGCCCCACAACCTTCATGTTTGGTCGGGGTTATCCTCCCTATTTTACACATGAGGAAATGAGGCTCATCAAAGTTACACTTACCTGAGAACCGCAGGTGAGAAGTGACTGAGCTGGGTTTGGATCTCACAATTCTCTGCTCCTTCTGCCCGTTCTCAGAGGAGCCCCAGGAACTGGGGCGAGTTAGGAGCGATGTTAGGAGGAACTTTCTGGAAAGGAAACTTGTTAGATAACTTTATGACTGCTGGAGTGAGCCTTGGGAATCTTCTCTGTTGGATCTTGTGAAACAAGAGGGTGTGACTTTTCAGCTTTGTTGGTGGTTGAAGTAGAGGTAACAAAGAAGTGGAAGATTATATGTATGGGGTAAGGGTGGAGGTGGAGGTTTTCCCTCTGGCTTCCAGTATGCTGCCCCTGACATGCCACCTCCCTCCCCACAGGATCTCTGTCTGCCCTGGTCTACCAGCACTCCATCATCCCATTGGCCCTGCCTTGCAAGCTGGTCATTCCAAACCGAGGTAGGAACGTGAGACTCCTGGCTCGCCACCCACAGCCTTGAGCTGGCCCCCTTGATGCTGCCAGCCACTCCGGACACGAGCCAGGGCTGGAGGACACATGTCATTTTGCCAATCTGGAAAAACTCAAAACTACTCTCCTTTTTTTCATATTAAAAAAGAAAAAAATTATGAAAAAGCCTAACTCCAGGGACACACATAAATGGACATGCCAGATTGTCCAGGAAAATCCTCTGGAGGCTTTAAGAAATTCATACAGAATCCTCAGACCACGTGTCATCTCAGGGATGACAGGAGGAAGGAGAAGTAGGGGACAGGAGACGTGTCCTGGAGGATGAAATGGGCATCCGGGGAAGAGAGCGGGGAGGCAGGCTGAGGTGTTGGGGGTTGGGCTGGATGGAAAGGAGAGAGCAGCCTCAGGAAAGGGAAGACAGCACCTAGATGTCACTGGAGTTTCTAATCTGTGTGCTTGGAGGGTGTTCCCTGACCGAGGGGACGCTGAGCTGTTAGGGACAAGCAAGTCCTCTTCTGATTGTGGGAAGTTGGAATGGACTCCAAGAGCATGAGGACACGCAGGGGGAGAATTTGAGTGAGATGGTAGGGCTGGGGAAGGGGTGTTTCACTTCTCTCATGGAGGTGCGCCAGCCCTGGAGTATGGCAGGTGGGCCCCTAGACCTCCTCCCAGCATAGGCCTCTACTGCCAGCCCTCAGCGACATGGAGCCCACTGGAGGGCCATTATGCCTTACCTCCAGTGCAAGGCCTCAGAACTGGGAGCTGGGCTGCCTTCTCCCCACTCTCTCTGTTCAACAATGGGAACTTCAGAAGCGCCCCTAGGATGTGACCCTGGGATTTTTCCTAGTCCTTCTTGGAGCTCCTGTGGTATGCCCACACATTACACCTCCAGTATTTTTTTGACATTTTCTATTTATCCAATTCAGTTCACTGAATTATTAATGATAACTGACCAACATTATTAGCTTATAAGTTCAAATACAACTTAAATAGCACTATTAACCAATGACATAATTCAGCCATGAATTGAATTATAGTCCTATGGAATTTACTATAGTAGTTCAGCAATTGAAAAACAGTTTAATATTTAGATTGTATAAACCTGTAGTTATCAAAGTATGGACCTAGATCAGCAGCATCGGCATCTCCTGGGAACTTGTTAAACATGCAAATATTGGCTGGGCATGGTGGCTCGCGCCTATAATTTCAGAACTTTGGGAGACTGAGGTGGAAGGACTGCTTCAGAGGAGTCTTGAAGTGACTGCTCATTGAAATGAGGAGTTCAAGACCAGCCTGGACAACATCAGACATCCCCGTTTCTACAAAAAGTTTAAAAATGACTCTTCTTTAAAAAAAATGGTGGCTCATGCCTGTAGCCCCAGCTACTCTGGATACTAATGTGGGAGAATCTGCTAGAGCCTGGGAGTTTGAGGCTGCAGTGAGCTGTGATCACGCTACTGTGCTCCAGCCTGGGTGACAGAGCAGGATCCTGTCTCAAAAAAAAAAAACTTATATACCATGTACAATGTGATGTTTTGATAAACGCACACATTGTGGGTTAAATCAAGCTAATATGTCCATCATTCAATTCTTATTAATATTGAAATGAGAGTTATGCTGGATCAATGGTTTAATGAATTAAGGGAATTAGGACATTTATTGACCTACACAAAGAGATATCAATGCAAAACAATAACAGCAATACCTGTTACCAATTGAAGGCTTGCTTTATGTTAAGTACTGGCTAAGCTGTACACAGAATCTCTCAAAAACCCAGTGACGTGTGTACCATGATCATCGTCTTTGTTTTATAGATACTTAGTACGTGCTGGGTGAGGGTTTGAGCCCAGTGATGCTGGACTCCACAGCTCTCAACCAGTGTGCTGGCTGCTTAGAGCAATTGTCAAATGTTCAGACTGAGCCTAACTCAGGGCTGACTGCCAGGGCCTTGTATGAAAAGCAGCGTCCCTTGCACCAATAGTTGCAGAGCTCACTTTCAGCCCGGCCAAACTTGTGCTTCTAATTCCAACTGAATTTTTGTCTCAGACCCCACAGATGAATCGAAAGATAGCTCTGGCCCTGCCAGCTCAACTGCAGACCTGCTGAAGCAAGGGGCAGGTGAGTGGTCCCCTGAAACTGGACCCATGCCCAGGCCTTCATTTCTGCCTTCCTGCCCTGACCCCTCCTGCAGGTACAGGCTGGAGGTCTCTCCAGGCCCAAATATCTCTGGGGACATCATATTTCTATGTGCAGATACCTTGGATCAAGGCTAGCCTGAAATTTATCTGCCACCTTCTCCCTGAAGAATGGATGTGGGTTAATGTCTTCACCCACCCCATCTCCTGTGACTCCCCTTGGGTTGGTTTCTTCTAGCCTGCAATGTGCTCTTCGTCAACTCTGTGGACATGGAGTCTCTTACTGGGCCACAGGCCATCTCCAAAGCCACGTCTGAGACATTGGCTGCAGACCCCACGCCAGCTGCCACCATCGTTCACTTCAAAGTCTCTGCCCAGGGAATCACTCTGACTGACAACCAGAGAAAGTAAGACTCCTCTGCCTGCTCCTGGGTGGGGTTCTCCTTCCTGTGACCCATCTATTTATCCATGTTCCCACCCATTTACCCACTGATTAATTCCTTGCACTCAGCTGCTTGTCTATCCTCCCGTCCGTCTGTCTTGCATCTACCTCCCATAAACCCAGCTACTTATCCCTCCATCCATCCATCCATCCATCCATCCATCCATCCATTCATGCATCTATCAATCCATCCTTCCATGCATCTATCGATCTACCCATCCCTGCATTTATTCATACCTCATCTCTTCCTGGCCACCTATTTATCCCTTCATCCATCTATATCTATCCATCCACCCATTCATTCATCCTTCTATGAGAATTTGCCAGCACTGGATATACAGCTGTAAATGCAACTGATCAAAAGGACCTGCTTTCTTGGAGCAGAGCTCATTCACTTGGAGCGTCCCTGGCCTCTTTGCTTCCTTTTCCAGCCCCTCTCCACATTTCTTATTCCTCAGTGCCAGTTTCTCCCTTCCCCAGCCCCTAGCATTTGGGATGCTTCTGTGGCACATCTGTCTCTGTACATTGCTTGGGTCACCAGTGTCAGCAGCTCAAGCCATCTTGCTCATAAGAGAGAGGTTGTATGGACCTGTAACAGCCACAGATGGTGGGAAGGTGGCCTGACCTGCTGGTGGAAGAAGGGGAAAAGCAGCCCCTTCAGCACTCATTCTCTTATCTGGTGTCTGTGCTGCAGGCTGTTCTTCAGACGCCACTACCCCCTCAACACTGTCACTTTCTGTGACCTGGATCCACAGGAAAGAAAGTAAGTCTCTTGCACGCAGCTTCCCTCCCACACAGCTAACACTGAAGACTGTGTGTGTGCACGCATGTTCATGTGCATGTGTGTGTGTGTGTGTGTGTGTGTGCGCGTGTACATTCTCCATTCAGCTGGAAGGTCTACCCATGTGTGAGTAATTGTGCTGGGCATCCTTTGAGTCTTTCCCACTATAGATATGGAGACCCTCCCAGGCACTCAGTGCCCACTGTCACCCCCTCTGCTATGCCCTGACCCTGAATCTGCCTCTCCTCTCCACCACGGGGAGAGCACGTGGAGGCAGGCTGCGGTGTTCTCCCCACCTTGAATACATCTCTGTGTGATGCTGGGCAGCTCCTGTCCTCTGGGAGTGGGGGCTGCCCTGACTTCCTGCAGAGGGGCTGGGCGTGGGTGGGGCTGGGCACTAGGGAGAAAGTGCAGTGATTTACCCTGAGCCCACTTTCTCTCCACAGGTGGACAAAAACAGAGGGCGGCGCCCCTGCTAAGTAAGTGTGACTTCTTACCCCCACCCAGCAGGCTGGCCTTTGTATTTCACAGGGAGGGAAGCATGGGGCAGATTTAGAATCCAGAGCTGTGGGTAGGGAAAGGGCAGCAAAAACCTTTGTGCCAAGGTTACTCAGCTCTCAAGTGAAGCTTGACCAGGTATCCAGGCCTTTTGCCTTGTCCTGCCATGAGGCCAGAGTTCCAACCTCTGGTCCAGCCACCTTCATTCACCCAGGATCAGAAGCAGCAGGGATGCCAGGCAGTGGACAGAAAACAGAGTCTTATTAGAAGCAATGGAATTGGGGCAGGGGTTGTTTACATGATCTTTTCTGCCCACATTCTAGCTGCCTTTGTTCCTGTTCTTGCTTTTTTGGTGGCTCTTCTGTGAGTCTTGTGGCTGAGCGAGACGGCTTTATCAGAGTGTGGGAGCCCAGGAGGTCTGAATTCTAGGGATGGCCCTGGGACCTTTGGGTGGATTCCTCCATCCAGTGGACATGTTCTAAGGGCCTCCAAGGAACTCAGCTCCTGCCTGGGTCTCTGACCCTGCCCTCAGGTGGCCCATTGGCACAGCAGATAAGACAAGTGTCTAAACAGCACTAAGATGTTTCTGTGATTTTTGAACTGTGTTTCAAGGATCCTGCCATCCTTGGATTCCACCTGTGTTCAGAGGGAGGGAAAACTTGGCTGCTCCTTGCAGTTCTCTATAAGTAGGAACTAGGGTTTTCTCACAATTACAGAAGCAAAACAAAATACAGGCATAACGCGGGGTCTGAAGCTAACATGAGACTGTCACTATGGCATATCATCCATGTTTCACTTTGTCAGGCTTATTTCAACAGCCCTATTATCCTCACTGATTGACTTTATAATAGATAAATGTCACGCTTTTGGATTGATACGTTTATAGCTGTAAATACTGCTTTCACCTTGGTATATGCAGACTTCATAAAGGTTGCTTTAGAAAAACAAAATGTTCACCATTAAAAAATGACAGTTTCAGGGGAGGGGAGAGGAGGCAAGAGAGTTCAGCTCACATCTGGGGTGCTCATGCAGGAGAACACATCAGCATCTAGAGAGTGGGAAAGAGCAAATGTTTAAGGACGAGTCTTCAATTTGGACAGGCCAAAATGAGAATGGGAGTAGGAGAGGGTATTTCAGGGTAGGGGCCTCATGGCTACCAGACTGCAGGCTCCCCAAGGGCAGGGCCATGTCTGGCACATTGTGAGGCTGGTAAATATTTGTTGAATGAAGAAATGAGAGAATGGAGGCCGGAAGAACAGAGGCAAGAGGAGGCTGGTGCGGATACTTCGGTCTGAATGAATGGACTGACTAGTCTCTTGCATGGTCAGTGACAGCGGCTTAGGAAAGGCCATGTGGGATGGTGGGGCTCAGCCTTGTCCAGGCTTCATAGGGTCATCAGTGCTTCGAGTCTCTGCGTCCCCTGTGTCTCTGCTGGCTTTGGCGGCAGGTGGGAACTTTGTGTCTGAAGGTGCTTGTGCTCACTCAGCACAGGGTCCTGCGAGGGGAGAGGGTCAGAAACAGAAGAGAGTTGGGCCCCCAAGCTGGAAATCCCTCTTTTCCTCCTTCAGGAGCTGGTTTTGAGCTGAGCCTCCTGCTGAAGAGGCTTTGATGGGTGGGGCAGAGGCCACAGGGATAGACTGAGGCAGGGCAGTGGGCTGACAGGGAATCATGACAGGGACGAGGTGAGGCCAGCCAGGGGCCTCAGGTGCAGCATTCAAGGAGATGTTAGATCTCGGGATCTTGCAAGTGCTTCCTCCCTGCCCTTGGGGCTGAGGCTTCTTGCCTGGATCTCCTCCTCGAGGCAGATGGCAGGACTGGGCTATCATGGGACCCTTAGAGCCACAGCTGAAAGAAGTGTCGGGGGGGGCAGGCTTGGTGTTCCAGTCAGGCGCAATTGCCAGGTCTCCATCCTGGTGGACACCCGCAGCCAGGCCTGGCATGCTTCTTCCCCCTGCTGGGATCACCCTACCCCTTCTCAGGGTCCAAGCCAGCCAGGAAAGGGCGGTGCTGGGGCTGCCCTGTGGGCCCCGCTCCCCCACCACCTGGGCATTACTCCAACCTTTAGCACTGTTGCTCCCGGGCCCTGAAACAAGACTAGGGGAGCAGAGCTGTAGGGAATGCAGGATTGTTTGTGTGTGTATGTTGTGTCAGTGTGCATGTTGTATGTGTGTGGTGTGTATATGTTGTATATATGTGTGATCTGTATATGTTTGTATGCATGGCTTGTGTGTGTGGTACGTGTGTGCGGTGGTATGTATGTGGTGTGTGTGTGGTGGTGTGTGGTGTGTGCAGTGGTGTGTGGTGCGTATGTGTCTGGTGTGTGCATGCGGTGGTGTGTGTGATGGTGTATGTGTGTGGTGGTGTATAGTGTTGTGGTATGTGTTTGATGGTGTGTATGTGTGTGGTGGTGTGTGTGGTGGTGTGTGGTGGTATGTGGTCTGTATGTGTGTGGTGGTGTGTGGCGTATGTGTGGTGTGTGCATGTTGTGGTATGTGTTTGATGGTATGTATGTGTGTGGTGGTGTGTGGATGGTGTGTGTGTGGTGGTGTGATGGTGTGTGTGTGTGTGGTATATGTGTGGTGTGTGTGTGGTGTTATGTGTGGTGTGTAAAGTGGTGTGCAGTGTGTATGTATGTGGTGGTGTGTGTGGTGGTATGTGTGTGAGTGTGGTGTTATGTGTGTGTGGTGTTATGTGTGGTGTGTGCAGTGGTGTGTGGTGTGTATGTATGTGGTGGTGTGTGTGTTGTGGTGTGTGTGGTGGTACGTGTGTGTGGCGGTCTGTGTGGTGTGTGTGTATGGTGGTAGTTTGTGGCGTGTGGTATTATGTATGGCGTGTGTGGTGGTGTGTGGTGTGTATGTGGTTGTGTGTGTGGTGGTGTGTGTGATGGTGTATGTGTGTGGTGGTGTGTATGTGGTATGTATGTGTGGTAGTATATGTGTGATGGTGTGTGTGTGTGGCGGTGTTTATGTGGTATGTGTGGTAGTATGTGTGTGATAGTGTGTGTGGTGGTATGTATGTGGTATGTATGTATGGTAGTATGTGTGATAGTGTGTGTGTGTGTGGTGGCATGTGTGTGGTGTGTATGTATATGGTAGTGTTTGTGTATGTGTGTGGTGGCATGTGTGTGCTGTTGTGAATGTGTGTGGTGTATATGTATGTGGTGGCGTGTGTGACGGTGTGTATGTGTGTGGTGGTGTGTGGAGGTGTGTGGTAGTGGTGTGTGTGGTGGTGTGTGGTGGTGTGTATGTGATGTGTATGTGTGGTAGTGTGTGATAGTGTGTGTGTGTGGTGGCATGTGTGTGATGTGTATGTATATGGTAGTGTTTGTGTATGTGTGTGGTGGCATGTGTGTGCTGTTGTGAATGTGTGTGGTGTGTATGTATGTGGTGGCGTGTGTGACGGTGTGTATGTGTGTGGTGGTGTGTGGAGGTGTGTGGTAGTGGTGTGTGGTGGTGTGCGGTGGTGTGTATGTGTGGTATGTGTGTGATGGTATGTGTGGTGGTATGTGTGTGGTGTGTATGTGGCGGTGTGTGTGTATGTGTGTGGTAGCATGTGTGTGGTGGTGTGTACACACAGGCACACACAGCAACCAGTAGAATCCCCCTGTGCTAACTTTAGCTGCGTGGTCCTGCTATAGGGAGAGGGGTTTCCATCAGAATCTCCAGCTGTCCTGATTTCCCCATCTCGCTCTAAATAGCAACATGCGGGCTGGGAGGGGACCTGAGCTCACATTCTGTTCTCTGCCCTCATATTTTTAACTCTGTTTTGCAAAGAGAGAATGCTGGGTCACTCCAGTCCTGTGGGTGGAGGTGGGGGACGGGTGTGGAGTCCACCTTCCCTTTTTATTCCCTGGCTTCCAGGGGTCTTGAGCCTAGGAAGAATCAGTGTGTGTGTGGAGGGGTGTGAGCTACTTGTCCTTTCTCTCCCTGACCTTGTGGTGTCTGAGGAGGCTGAGCCCTGTGCAGGCAGACTGCACTTTCCTGATTGGCATATGTGTTGTGTGTAAGAACAGTCAGTAGGGGTGGAGCTGGGATGGGCGGGGACAGGCCCGTCTAGGAATGTTCCCATTTTATTTTGGTCTCCTCCCCACCCTCACTATCCAGCCTTGTCAATCCCCTACAGCTCCCCTTGCACCTCTCCAAGGGGAATTTCTGCCCACTCTTAAGCAGGGCGGGACACTGTCTCCAGGCCTTGGCCCTGTGGTCAGGGGAGTGCAGAGGATTCTCTTCTGTGCCTCTGGAAGTTCCTGATGCTGAGGTCTGCTGGAGGGATGGGGGAGAGAGTTTGGTCCGAGACCAGCTTGCTCACCTGGGCTGCTGTCCACCTCCTGGGGTTCCGCTTGCCCTCCCCTCACGCTGTTGCCCTCTCCCACCTGCAGGCTCTTCGGCTTCGTGGCCCGGAAGCAGGGCAGCACCACGGACAACGCTTGCCACCTCTTTGCTGAGCTCGACCCCAACCAGCCCGCCTCTGCCATCGTCAACTTCGTCTCCAAGGTCATGCTGAACGCTGGCCAAAAAAGATGAACCCTGCCCCTTGCCCAGGGCCAGTACCGTGGGAAAGGGGCACGTGGGGAGGGGACCCATGAATCCTGACCACTCTTGAACCCAGAAAGAGGACTTTGGGCCAATTTCGGAGGAGAGAAGAAAGTGCAACGTGGGGAGAGGGAAGTGAATTGCAAAGGGGAGGGGGAAGAGAGAGAGAAAGAGAGAAAGGAAAAGATGGAGGAGAAGAACTTGGATTCCCCTGGGTGGATGGAAACTGCAAAAACCCAAAGCCTCCAAAACTAACCAGGTCCGCCTAACACCCCCTCCCTCCCCTGAGAAGATGGATGTCCTCAAAAGAGAAAGAACAAACCTCCTTGGGGAGCCACATTTTTAGGGGAATGGAAAAGCTCTGTCACCCTAACCCAGTGCTTTCCAAGGGGAGATCAGGCTTGGGGGAATCTTTTTCTGGCCACCTGTAGGGTAGGTTGTGACACCAAACAGAGCCACTGTGGGACATCAAGTGGCAGAACTTACTCTCTTGAAAGTATCTCAGACCCAAGGCACCTCAGGTCTCTTTGCCGTGCCTCCGCTGTATTGTCGTGTGGGTGTATGTGTGTCCCCACCCACATCCTTAAACGTTGATGTAGATCTGCCTCTATCCACTAGAATTATAAACAGCCCGGCTTGTCCATGTCCCGTGTGTTTGTGAACACACGTGTATACTGTCCAAAGATTAGGGCTGGCAGTGGCAGGGCAGCAGGGGAGGGACAGAAACCCTCCTCTGAATGAGCCACCAAGCTATGGGAGACAGGGGCTCTCTCCTGGTGCCTGCACCTGCACTCTAGTGACCCTGGGTGCCGCCATCCCCTTCTCCTCTACAAAGACCCCAGCAGGAGTGGGAGGGTCTGCAGTGTCAACACCCTGCCCTGCCTTGGCCGGAAGGCTGGAGCTTTGGTTTGAGGATATAGAGATATGTGTGTCCATGGGAAGACATCTGTCAGGACAGGTGGCTGTTGAGCTTGGAGTGTCTTCCCTGAGGTGTGTGACTCAGCAGCAAGGAAGGCACGCTGCTCCTCCTGGGGCTCTGGACTCTGCGTTAGCGCCCACCTCTCAGCCCTGTTCTTGGGTTTCATGCCCCAGGACCAGCCTTATCTCAGACCTGCTTACCTGCATGATGCCTTTCCGGAGGCTGGGGATTGAGCCTTCCTGTTCTGTTCTGCCCAGCCCTGTTCTATTCTGCAGGCTCCCTGTGTTGGAATTCATCCTGGGGAACCTGCTTCCTGCTCAGTGAGGCTCAGGGCAGAAACCTGCAGTCCTTATCCTTACCTTGTAAGAGCTTCAGGGTCTGGCTTTTGCAGGCACTCTCTGACATCAGCAGAGCTCCTGGGGCTGCTACCTGTACACCACATGGCCTAACTACAATGCCAAAGCCTTGCTGTCCTGTCCCCCTTTCTGCCTTGGTTTCCCCAGCTGAGCCATGCTGCCCATGCAGCAGAGGGCAGAAGGCTTGCATTTGGGCCAAAGGGCCTGAGGTCCACTGGACAGTTGGGAAAACACCTGACCACCATTTAAGGACTCTAAGCCAGAATGGAAAATTCACTGGGACTCCATTCTTAAGCCTATGGGGGTCCCCTAGAGAGAGGCATTGTACTGATATATAAATGTTATATAATATATACATGAGACATACTGACAGAATCTGTAAGCTAATAAAATGTAACAAAAGGTTAAAAAAAGAATAGGTAAATTGACAAGAAGTATTTATTGTTTTTCCATATTGCTTTATTACCTTCCCTGGGCATAAACCAATTCCCATCCTTTTTATATGTATAAGTAAAGCCTGAAGTGTAGGGGGCCTTTGTTCTGGGAGCAGCCAGGGTCTCCTTGCCCCGGCCTTGGCCTTCCCTAGACTGTGTGGGGCTCAGTGTTGCAGGGGAGGGGGTGCACTTGTTCCACCCTTTGGCCTCCTTACTTTTCAGCAAGCCAGGGGCCCAGCAGTCAGCTCCCAGGACGTGTGGGGAGCTGCCCTGTCTTGCAGGCCTGAGCGAGTATGTGAGCATGTGAGGACATGGGTGTGTATGGCACACACGGGTGTGTGTGCGCCTTTTGTATTTTTTCTCCTCCAAGGAGCTGTGTCAGTGTGGACGTTCTGTTTCAGGGAGTTGGAAAGGAGAGTGTCTGCAGAAGGTGGGAGCAGGGGCAGAGGCCGCACCGGCCACCCCCTGCTTCCCAGAGTGAAACCTTGTGCCTGGTGACCAAGGTCCCTCCAAAGTGCTCTTCTTTCTGAGATATTCAAGCCAAATATCTGGGTTCCCCCTCTCCCGATTCCTTAGCAAACCCCAATTACCTTCCAAGATAGGAGATATTTCCCATCCCCTTCCTTTGTAAATATCTCCTCTCCCACGGGACAGCCTGGCAGCCTCTTCCCGGCCCGGATGTTCTGTCCTCACTCGAGGCTGGGCGGTGGATCAGACCGTTCAAGCAGCCTGGCTGGGGCCCAGGACTGAGTCGGGGGTCAGCTTTCACTGTCACTTTCTGCTTCCTCACCACCCACTGCAGCCCACCTCACATGCGTGGCCAGCTCCTCCACTCCAGCCTGAGCTGTGTGTGCCCCTAGGGGAGGACCTGTTGATGCTGGAAAGCTGGAAACTCCCTCCCAGCATCCCTGTGGGAGTCAGTTTCCAAGAGTGTAGCCTTTCAAGGTGAATGATGGGGAAGGGTTCCCCAGTCCCCACAGTGGCCCCACCTCTGGGCCCTGCACCAAAACCCTCCTGTGTCACAGGGGCTGTGCACCCATGCACACACCTACGCACACATACCACTCCGCACTGCAGTATATTCTTGCCAAAGATTTCCTTTAAAAGAAAGCACTTTCACTAATTATTATTTTGTGTTTATCCTCTTCTGTCTTCTCCCTCCCTCAGTCGATTTTACTGTTGTTTATTGTTGAATCTATTTGTCAGCCAGGAGAGCGCTGTCTGGTCTGGAACATGGGCTGGGATGGGAAAGGGTCTGGGAGAAGATGGGCAAGGAAGAGCCAGGAGTCACGGCTATCGCAGTGAAACAGACCCAGGCAGGCTCAGGCCTGTGCTGCCACTAACTCTCCAGCTGGGTGTCTGAGGGAAGAGGGCAGAGGAGGGTCGTGTCCCATTCAGCTGGGGGAGGGGTCCAGTGAGTTCCATGTGGCTCTTTCCCAGGGGGAGCAAGAGGGAAGGATTGGACGAGCAAATAATGGAGAGGGGACCTGAGAAGGAAACCCAGGAGGAAAGGAGCTGTTTGATCAGCCTGCTGTCACAGCGTCCTGGCTCTCTTATTTGGCCATGTGTTTGAGGGACACATACATCATGTCCTAAGTCTGGGAAAGGCCTTTGACCCATCTCATCTGAGCCTCTCCTCCAGTAGCTCTGAAAGCTGTGGATGCTGATGGCCAGGATTCCTTCTCCCCTGGTTTTTGAGGATCCCTGGGTGTTCCGAGACTGGCCAGGAGTGGGTTGGTGGGGCCAGTGGCCGCGTGGCAACAGGAGGGGGTAGCCCTCCTGGACAAGTGTGATCCCCCTCGAAGGGGCTCTCAGGAGGTTGGTGAGCAGGGGATTCTGCCTTGTTCTGATGAGCCTATGCAGAGGCTCTAGGGGGTCACAGAAGGGTGGCGAGTGTGAACAGATCCAGTCTCACTCCCACTTTTGTCCACCACCCCTGCCTTCTGGATATTCTCCCCCTGGTTTTTCCAGCTTTAGGACTTGGGGAGATCATGTGAGTCAAGGGAGACACCCACTTCCACCTCCACATTCAGGGTCCTCCTAGAGGTTGGGGGGCAGAGTCCCAGAGCAGCCCTTTACCCCAGGTCCAGGCCCTGGAATCCTGAGGCTCGTGTTTCCTTGGCCAATGGTAACACAGGACGTGTGTGTGGATGTGCAGGTGTGGTTGTGTGTGTGTGCATGTGTTTTGCTCATCTCTTTAGGGAACTTGGGGGTGGGGGTTGGAGGTGCTGGGCAATGGAACTTCAAGTTCAATGTCACCCAGCAGTGAGGGGAGTCAGGGGCAGGGCCTGTAGGGCCACCCATCAGTGGAGTCTCAGTGATGGCTCAGATGAGGAGCGGGCCACCCAGAGGGGCAGGGTGGGGGCTTCGGGCAGATCTGAACCTCTTGGCTCCTCTGTCCTCAAATGTCCAAAATGTTGGAGGATCTCTGTTTATATCCCATGCCCGGGCTCTTGCCAGCAGAGGAGTTACTGTAAAGGGATGTCCCAAGCTTATTCTCCAATCAGTGTTAAGCCGTTCCAAACTCTCCTGTGTCTGTGTTTGTGTGTGTGTGTGTGAGAGAGAGCACATCAGTGTGTGCAGGCCGTGCTTCCCAATGTCTCTCTTCCCTTCAGACCCGTCATTCAGAACAAATGTCAGAAATTCCTTCCCACCACCCTCCCTGCCTCCCCAGCCCTCTGCGGGAGAAACAAGATCGCCCAGCGTCCTCCCCAACCCTGGCTGTGTATTTATATAGATGGAAATATACTTTATATTTTGTATCATCGTGCCTATAGCCGCCACCACCGTGTATAAATCCTGGTGTATGCTCCTTGTCCTGGACAGGAATGTATTGTACACTGACGCGCCCCCACTCCTGTACAGCTGCTTTGTTTTTTTGCGATGCATTGTATGGCTTTATAAATGATAAAGTTAAAGAAAAATCTGTGCTGTTATCTATCTGTGTTGTTTGAACAGGGGTCTGCCATGTCTCTGGTGAGCAAAAAGGGGCCTCTTCTGGTAACCAGGTGGGCTTCAGCGATGCCTCTGGTGGACAGCTCAAATCCTCCCAGCGGCTTCCCCACTATCTGCACTGTGGTTCTGGTTTCATGTGTTTATTCATTTGGACTCTTTTAGCTGGAAGAGAAACTCAACTCAAACTTGTTTAAGAAAGAAGTAAGTGTATTGGCCCAAGTGGCTGAGAAGTCCAGGCAGAGCTGGATTTAAGGGCTTAAACGGTAGAATCAGGAATTGGTCTCCATCACTCGGTTCTGAGTTGGCTTGCGTCTCAGGTAAGCTCTCTCCGAGTGGCAGTGCCCCCAGATGCTCTGGGCTTCCGTCCCACCAGCTCGGTAGCCCCAGGAGAAGAGGGCTCTTTTCTCCCAATGTTCTCAGCAAGAAACTGGGACACGCACACATTGGCTCTGATCTGGATCCTGCTGCTCGTGTGATTACCTCAAAACCAATCACTCTATCCGGATCTGGGTCACGCGACTGCCTCTGGGGCCTTCTGAAACTACAGGGACCGAGAATGGGGAGGTGGTTGGTCCCAGAAGGGGTGAGATCTGCCAGAGACAGGGGGACACGGGTTGTCAGGCAGCATCTACCAGAGCTGGTGCCCATCAAGTGGCAAATGTGTGGTTCACTTGCGCACCGGGCCTGGGGCTTCTGGGTGAATTCTTTGGAATTCAGAAAGTTTGGGTGTAGGACCTACTGTGGCATGCCTGGCACAGCACAGGGTCTCTGGGAGATCCAAAATACTCAATGACATGGCACCAGCTCTCCGCTGAGCTCACTATGTGGCTGGAGCGAGGCTGGGATCAGCTTCTTTGAACAGGTTTATGGCAAGCCCTCACAGTCCTCGTTGTGTAGGGCAGTCTTCTCAAACTTGCGGGTCTTGGGATTCCTTTACATTCTTAGAATTATTCAGGATCCCAAGGGACTTTTGTTTAGAAGAGTTATATCTTTTGATCTTTATCATAGTATAAATTATAACTGAGAACATGAAAAATACTTATTAATTCACTTCCACAGCAATAAATTCATCACGTTAATATAAATAGCATTTTTGTGAAAAATAGTATTTTCTAAAACAAAATCGCTGGGTGAGAAGGGTGATTTTGCTTTGCTTATTGTTAGTATTGTTTGAGACAGGGTCTTGCTCTGTTGCCCAGGCTAGAGTGCAGTGGCACAATCATAGCTCACTGTGGCCTCGACCTCCTGGGCTCAAGTGATCCTCCCACCTCAGCCCCTGAGAAGCTGGGACCACAGCTGTGTGCCACTGCACCTGGCTAACTTGAAAAGTATTTTTGTACAAAAGAGGTTTCACTATGCTGCCCAGGCTGGTCTCAAACCCCTGGGCTCAAGCAATCCTCTCTCCTTGGCCTCCCAAAGTGCTGGGATAACCAGTGTGAGCCACCATGTGCTTTGCATTTTTTAAAGGCCGATTCATGCCTGGCTTACCAGGAGACAGCTGGATTCTTCTATGAGCTTCTGCATACTGTTGTGATACCCCCCATCCTGGGCCTCTGGAACACACTATACTTGTGGGAAATGAGCAAAAGAGTCAAATAATGGCTTGACAGCATTATGAAAATGGTTTTGACCTCAGCACCCATGGAAGGGTCTCAGGGACCCCTGGAGTCCCGGGATCATACTCTGAAACCTGTTGCTATGAGGGATACACAACACAGGAAACTCAGCCCCCGTCTATGGGGGAGGCTGAACACATCTTGTACTCCTGCTGTCTGTTAGGTATTGTCACGCCGAGTCATCCCAACAAGCCCATGAGGCACTGTTATACACAGGGACAAATAAGGAAACCGAGGTTTTGAGAGGTCACACAGTTTCTAGCTGACAGAGCTGGTACTCGACCTCACTCCCACTGGTGAAGGCTGGCCTTCAGCCAACACCGGCTAAGTGCCGGAGCCTGTGCTAAGCGGTCAGGTGTCCTTTCTCATGCACATGCACCTGAGACGTAAGGGCTATCCTTGTCCTCATTTCACAGATGAAGAAATGAGTTCAAAGAGGTTAAGATACCTGAAAATCACAGAGCTGGGGTAAGTGGCCCAGCCAGGCTATGAACCCAGGTGAGCTGACTTCTCAGCCAGGCTCTTCCTAGCTCTTGCCTCCTGTTCAGGACTGGCTTTCAAAGGGAGAGACAGATGAGCCATGGGCAAGCGGGAAACCAAACTGATGTCACTGGTCAGATAGAGGGTCACGGGCTAGGCTGTAGGCTGACTTCCCAGGGAGTGGACCAGGATCCTGGGTGTGTGATGGGGTAGGTCAGGAAGTCAACCCCTGATGCTGCCCAGCTGTGGAGGGATGTAGGTACCTCTGGGTGGGCCTGGTACAGGGGAGGAGTGTGATGAGAGAGACAAGCTAGGGCCTGTGAGCCGAGTTGATGCAGTGGCCTTTGAGGGGACTCAGTAATGAGGTGGCTTTGCTCCTGGTTCCCCAAGGAGGAGGAAGTAGATGGGGCTGCAGTGGAGGGCTCTGGGTGAGGAAGGGCAGCTCTCCCAACACACCTTATCATACGGAAGACCCAAAAGACCTTTACATTTCCTTCCTTCCTCCCTCCCTCCCTCCCTTCTTTCTCTCTCTCTCTCTCTTTCTTTGTCTCCTTCCTTCCTGCCTTCCTCCCTCCCTCCCTTCTTTCTTTCTCTTTCTCTCCTTCCGTCCTTCTTCCCTCCCTCCTTTCTTTCTTTCCCTCCCTCCCTCCCTCCCTCCCTCCCTTCCTTTCTTTCTTTTCTCTTCTTTCTTTCTTTCTTTCTTTCTTTCTTTCTTTCTTTCTTTCTTTCTTTCTTTCTTTCTTTCTTTCTTTCTTTCTCT